CGGACAAGCCGGAGCCTGCGGTTCTCCGCCTCAGCGCGGTGAAGGGCACTGATGACACCCGGAGGAACCTCGAGAGGCTGAAGGCGGAGTCCATCAAGAAAAATATGGTCATCCTCGGCGCCAGGAGAGGCGAAGATATCGCCCCCAGGATCGGGAACACGATCGCCACTCTGTGTGCCAAAATCGGGGACATTTCCCAATTCCTGGAGATGGGAGTGAGGTCCAGAGCGGGACCTATCCTCCCGACCAAGAGTGACCCTGACCTGATGATCCAGGCCATTGTTCCCGCACCCGAGGAGCTTCTGGACTACTTCACCGACGAGATCCGTCAGAAGGTGGAGGGTAGGGCGGGCGCCTCTTCGCACTACTACAGGAGAGCATGCGCGGAAATACGCGACGCTCTCCGTGGGACAGCGGTGCAGCCTGGAAATGCAGGTGCAGTCAAGGACCCAGAATTGGAGGCCTCGTCCGCCAGCGGACAAGGGAACGTCACTTCGGTGATACAACTGAAGAAGTTCCTGAGCCACTACTTCGGCACAAGTGTCGAATCCGAGGAAGCTTTTTCATCGTATCTCCTGGCCTCCTTCCTCGAGGACGGAGTGGGAATGTTCGAAATCATCATCACCGTCATTCGTGACAAGGAGCATTGGTTGCTGCCTGGATCCGCACGCATAGCGGCGGTAAGGTCACTTGAGATTGGATCCGACACTGATTACCGGGCATTTCGTGAACGGTATCAATACATGCTCTACGAGAGCCCTGTCTGTCTTCCCATCACTTCCAAGGTGGTTCCCAAGACGCTCTACAAGGTGGTGCCTCTCCGGATGTATCGGCTCTACGTAGAACGTGGGGCGATCATTCGGGGTGGGCGAGCTTTGATCGAGCTCCTTCCCTCTCGGCCGGATGAGTATCAATCCCTCCGCGATCACGGAGAGTGCCCGAACGACACTGTCGACCGCATCACCGACAGCAACGTGACGGAGCTACACACCTCGGGTCGACGCCAGAGGAGCGATCCCCGTTATGTGGTCATGGCTATCGATGCACGTTTCTTCTCCATGGAAAATGGGGGCATGCATATTACTCGTCAGGGTACATTTGCCTCGCGCGAGAACATCGCGATCGGATACTGGAGATGCGTTTACTTCAAGGAGGACTGCTCCATCATTTACCTGAGGCCGTGGTGCTATCCACCCAACTTCCTCAACTCTGTGAGAGATAACCCGAGGAAATGTCGGGACGAAATGGAGAAGTATCACCAGATCGCCAAGGCGGAACATGTCCGCGAGGTGGTGTCCGTTCCATGCCATAGGTGCATGACGGCTCACCCGGTCGGCGCTCACCTGTGCACCGCCTGCTACCTTCCCATCTTCTATGAGGGCGTCCTGCCCACCGGAGACACGGACGGCGGCCCTCGCACGATAGCGAGTACCAACGGGGTGGTCCCTCCCTGGCTGGCAAAGTACGAGGGCTTCGTCCCCGCTCTGTGGAACAACGCAGATGCCAACGCCATCGGGATGGCCCTCTACTCGCAGAGTCCCGCCGTCGACGCCCGGTCCTTGTTGATGTCTGGGATGCGGCCTCCTAAGTACCTCGACAAAGAGGACGTGGATGGCATTTTCCGAAAGCTTCACGACTCGCTCCGGGACGAGGTTGTTGACGGGAAGTACCGTGATACGGTCGACCACAACGTGGAAGACTGGGTTGCAAAGGCGATCTTGGTAAGAGGTCTTGCCTTCAACGGGAGCTCCGTCTCCGACTTTTTCGAGGAGTATGAAGGGTATGCGGCTGAATGGGGCAGACGCCTAACCACCGCAAACTTCAACGCCAACCGGTGCGGCTTTTACACGTCCTACTACATTCTTGAGGCCCATATCATTGGGCTGAGATCAGGACATCTTTCTCCGATACTCCCCAACGATATGTCTGGGGAGGGATTTAAGTTCCAGATGAGGCTGCTCGCTCAGCACTGCGGGATATTGCAGGCCATGCGGAGAAGGGCCGGATTCGATCCTGCCGCGCGCCTCAAGCGGGCTATGGACAAGATACGGGAAGGCGTTAAGAAGGGGTACGTCTACACCCTCAACGACCTCAGCAGTATGGACGATCTGATCTACCGGACGTCCACCGTTGCCTACGACACCTGCCTGGCTGACCGTCCTCAAACCCAGGATGATATCAAGCAGGAGCTGTCCGACCCTACGCCCCGGAAGTACCGCTTCCGACCTCGCGATCGTTATCGGCCCGGGATACGCCTTACACCAGGCCCCGGCGTGAAGGATGAAGACGAGCCCGACTTTGCTGGATCTGCGGAGGACGAGCTGGGATCGGATGGGTCCTCGTGCGGCGAGGAAGAGAAGTCTGACGACCCTGACGAGCCCATGGACGATGACGAGGAGGAAATCCCTCCCCCTCCGCCGCTGCCCCCGGCTCCTCCTGCGCCACCTGTCCCGGTAGAACCGGAGACTCCCGTGGTGTCGCATGCGGGCGTCAAGCCTGGCGATGCTGTACCAACTCCTCCTCCTCCTCCTCCTCCCGCTCCCATTGCGGCTGACGTTACGACGGCTGAGGATCCTTTTGAGGACGAGGACGCGGCCATCAATACTCGTGTCCCTGACACCGAGTCCGAGCTGGAGGGTGAGTCCGACCAACCCAAGGCCAGGAGGACATCTCATGGTCGGGTCCCCGCGCCCGAAAAAGGGCAGGGGGGCGTTCAGGTCCCGCCTGGCGGGCAACCCAGCTCTAAGAGCATGGCCCAGCCTGCCCGTCCCATCCCCGGTCCCCGCGAGAAGCGGTGTGGAAGGTGGGGAGAGAAGGGGCAGGACCAAGGGTTTCTACACCCAGAAGGATCCTTTTACCGGCGAGGACGCGACTCCCCGAGTTCGTCTTCGATCGGGCGGTCCCGGAACTCCTGCGTCCCCACCACGGGATGCCACCGGTTCCTTGGGCGGCCATGGCGGCTATGACCCGCGCGATGACGACAACGACGAGTGGGAGCTTCCCCCGGGTGTGCCTCGGACCACTCGTGCGGCAGATGAGTCGCGGCCCCGCCGAGATGACGATCGGTCGAGGACCGCGCTTGGGGCCCGCGAGGATCGTCGCGGTCCTAAGGGTGAGGGGAAGGGTCGAGGAAAACATCGACCTGGCAAAGGTGGACGCGAGGATCCTGGCCCGCCCCGACAAAGGGATGATCGTGGCAGGGATACCCGCGGAGGCCGACGCGATGATCGCCGACCTCATCCACGTCATGAGGAGACCTCCGAGAGGCGCGGTCCGGGACGAGATGAGCGCCGCGGACGTGATGACCCGGGTGATGACCGTCGCGATCGCCACCGGGACCGGCGCAGGGATGACCGACGTCACCAATCAGATCCCCCTCCGCCTCGCCGACCTCCGGCTGGAGACCACAATAGGGGTGGTGGTGAGGATCGCCGTCGGGATGGAGGAGGTGATCGAGGTGACCGTGGTGGACGCCGGAGAGACGACGTGCCCAGGGACCGGGAAGAACCTGGTTCAGGGTGGTAGGCGGGTACCGCAATCAGCATCCGCCTTAGAAGGGCGAGGATAGTACGTGTGTCGCCGAGAAACGCGACCGCGCCGGTCCTCCTCTCGCCTATGCGGCGCTGCTGGGGGTGATGGTCTCCATTGCCCTGTACCGCTGATCCGGCGTTGCTCGTGTCCCTCCCGCACCGCTGCCGTGCGCGCCGGAGACGGTTCCCCTGGCGATCCTGTGTGAGGCTGAGACCGCACTAGAAGTGCCGGGCCGGCCGTAGCCGGGTATTTTCACACCAATTTCGGAACGTCCTTCTCTTCTGTGATCCCAACTCGTTTACCACTCCAACCACTTCGCGGCGTGCAGTGAGGCGCGGTGATCCAGATAGGATCCCCCTCCGCATGTTGTTGTCCCATGACAATGCATGAACGGCACGAGAGGAATCTTCGTCTGGTTCCTCCATAATGTCTCTGTTCACTCATGTGGCCCACTCGTCAAATAATCCTGTCGCCCCGCTAATTCGGGGTGGTGGCGGGATTTTAACTGGGGCCCAGGTGCTGCCGTTGGCTCACCTCTGAGTTGACACCGGCATTTTTGGTTGGTCCCTTTCGTCGTGAACTCAACTGTCTCGCATCCTTTCTCTTGTCCAGATATCGGATGAGGGGGGTGTGTTTTGTTCACGTGTTGTTTCTTCATATGTCAAAACGGCCGAACGGCCGTTTGGCTCAAGTTTTTACCTCCCGTCAAGTGGGAATAGGACTCACGCTCGTGCGCCATTCACTGGCAGCTTTCTTCGTCCTCGAGCCGAAAAGGGTCGGGGCCGCGGGCGGCTGGGTGTAGGAGGTGCTCGGTGAGTCGCGCTGTTCTACTTGGGCTTGGTATTGAACTTAATCCTCTTCAACTTGATTTCTAACCTCCCCATACTTCTCCTTTGTCAACCGTCACTTCCTCAACCCGGTCATCATCCACAGCTTCACCCGAGTTGTGTTTCCGGGTGCTTTGGGTACATCGTGATCTACTTTGTGCTCATTTGCTTCCCTGGGCTACTTCGTGTTCGCCCAAAACCGCACCTTTTAATCATACCAGTGGGGATGGATGAAACCCTGTAAAGTGGATAAACCACCTACCAACTGGTGTCCATCCACAGCTGATTCCATCCAGTGCCCTGACCCACAATCGATACGGGATCACCAAGGCGTGTCTTTTTCGGCGGGCCCTCGTGTTTTGGGGTCGGTGTTCAATTGAAGCCAACAGACAACTAGGTGGTTGGAAGGGAGCGGGGCTCGGAGCCTCGGAGCTGCAGATCTCCAAGTGCCTCGAAGAGGGAGCCGGGGGAGCAACCAAGAACCCCCGTCTCTTGCAGCTTGTGCAGATGATGGCTCTGTGCCTCACAAAATCGTGGGAACCCAACCTTCCCCCCAACCTAGCCTCCCAACTTCTCACCCCCCCACCTCCCACCTCCCCCCAAAACCCCTTGGAGGCCCAACCTCCCGCCCTTCCGGGTCAGGTCAGATCATCCTGGCGGCCGATGGCTCGTTGTCTTTGAAGGTGAAGAGCTGCGGCTCCGACCACGTCATCACCGAGGCGCCGAGTCGCCGGTGCCGTGGGGTCGGTTGCACCTCGAACTTGGGGCTGGGTTTGTGGCTCGAAAAACCGGCATACCCCCAACAAGAAAAAATGGCTTCCGTGGTGGTGTCCCTTTGAACCACCGTGAAATGGCTACCCTGAAAAGAAAGATGGGCGTGTGTTTGTGTGTGAGAGTTGTGTGTGTGTATGTGTGTGTGTGTTCAGGATGTATGTTGTTTGTTTGTGCTTGCGTGCTCTCTCTGCATTTAAAAGGGGACCAAACCGCATTTTGTGGGTTTGTCTCAAATGGACCCGATGGCTTTTGCAACCAATGCCCTTAGTTTTGACAGAGCTTTCAGAAAGTCGCAGATGCCAAACAGCTCAAATAAGGCTTAGAGTCCTGTGGATTGCTCAAAGGCTCCAAGCTGACCAACCATATCATATGTTTTGAAAAGAAGCTCTACTTTGCAGGGAGCCAATCTCAAAACCAGGTGACAGCGGAGGCTCGAGCCGAAAGAACCACTTGAAAGGCCACACGAGTTGCACCGCCAGGTCGTGAATCGCTTTTTCTGGAACCGAAACGGGAAACCGTTTCAGTTTTGGGGTCCAAATCCCTGTTTTGAGACACACACACACAGATCCATCCATATCCGGTGAGGTGATGAACGACATGCAGATGGGGGAGAAGAAGAACATGAATCTGCCCGGTGTCAAAGTCGAGCTTCCCGTGCTGCAGGAAACCCGCCGATATGGATCCGCTTTCGTTCTAAGTGCAGACATGCCGTGGCTGGGACGTTGAGTTTAGGGTTGCTTGGAGACGCACGACGGCTTCTCAAAGGAGATAGAAATGGCAGGTTTCTTTGTGGCTTCCCTTCAAAACTAAAGAGAAAAAGGAATCCATGTTGAGCAACCCTCGGATGGGGACGTTTGAGTTGGTCTAAATATCGGGCCCGCAACCTCCAAGCGCCAATTTTGCACAAGCTTCGGACTTTCCCGTTGCTCTTTGAGCCTCCGGCCTCAGGAATTAGTTTCCTTTGAGCAAATGTGGTACCCTTGGGTCTTGCCAATGTTTTTCAAGTCTGATGCTTACTCTTGGTGGTGAGGGTCGATTAGAAGCTCAAGGAAGGTTTGGCTTGGGCGAATCAAGCTCATGCGTGGGGGGGGATGTACCGCACCTTGTAAGTTCTGGTGGTGTTTTTTGTCGGTTAATTTAGGTACATGTGCCATGGCCTTTGCCAGAATCAGAAAACATCTTGCTCACTGCATGCCATGGGACCCAAAACGGGATGACAGCGATCCCGCGAAAGGAGAGCTCCTCCCTCGGCACTTTTTTTCTGCGTTTAAGTCCGTTTCGAGCAAACCAAACGCCCATTTCACCCAAAAACGCTCAATCACGCCTATGCCCCGCTGATTTCCGCTCCTTTCCTGCCGATGTCCGCTCATGTTCCGGGAGAGATCTTGGCCAAATCAAGAGTTCCGCTCATGTCATGGTTTGTTTTCCGCTCAAAACTCCTGAAACGAGCAAAGAGAATTCCCAGAGCCCTAAAAAGTGAATTCCCAAATGGAAGACCTACTGTGGATGGACAAAATCCTGCACCACCTGAGAAACCCTGGAATGAATGGTTCCCCTGTACATATGAACAACCAATGGCTTCCCATTCCCATGGTTTGAAAGTGGTGCAGGATTTCGTCCTTCCACAGTAGGTCTACCAAGGCACTTTTACCGGGTTCCGTGATCGGCCTTCGGCGCGCAGGAGAAGGACAAGAAGGACTTGCTGGAGTTTGGGCTTCCTCAGGCCTGGCTGCTACCTAAATTTCTAGCTTCTGTGTGGGTGGGTGTTTTGAGGGGTTGTTTTGAAGGCAAGAAGAGCCAGCCATTTTAGGGGGTCCTCTGTGTGGGTCCCCAGCCCATGTGTATTGATTCGATGTAATGTGGCTGGAAGGAGCCGGACTCGGAGGAATGAACAAATTCCTTGTTTAAGAGGGAGCTAAGGAGCTGCGTGGTTGAGTACGGTGAACTCAATTGAGGGGCTAAATTCCTCACCAATTCCTCTTTTAAGAGGGAGCTTTTAAGAGGGAGTTCGGTGAGGACGTGGTAGTAAGTTGACTGAACGATTCTGCGCCTACCTTTGCACACTGGCTTTGCATACTAATCGTAGAATTAACCCAGGCCTGGAAAACGTGGCGCTTGGCTCCCACATGGGGATGTGCTAGCTTAGACTGAAATTGTGCGATTCTCGCGCTGGACTGGCGAAGTATAGTTTGTGCACTACACTCTTGTACAGCAAAATTTCGACTTTCGAGCTGGAGCTACCAAACTGCACTCTGCGTACTACACTTGTATAAGACAGATGCGACTTTCGAGCTGGAGCCTCCGAAGTGGGTACTTCGTGCACTACTACTGCCTGCACTGAGCAGTTGCGACATTTGAGGTGGAGCTGCCAAAGTGTACCGTGTGTACTGAAAAGATGCGACTTTCAAGCTCGGGCTGCCAAGGTAAAACAAACTTTGGACAATTGCGACTTTCGAGCTTGAGCTGGTGTACTTCATGTACTGTGCTTGTACTGAACACTTGCGACTGCCAAGTTAACTCTGCCAAAGAGCACTACGCGCACGACGCTTGCACGGACAAGTTGCAGCTTTCGAGGTGGAACTGCCAAAGTGTACTTTGCGTACTTGTGAGCTGGAGCTTCCAAACTTTTCTTCGTGCACAACACTGTGCTGGCAAGTTGCGACGCTCGATCCGGAGCCAAAGCGTACTTCGTGTGTCCTTGTACCGCGACTGTGCTGAAAACTTGGCTTTCGAGCTGCTAGGTTGCACTTGGTGCACTACACTTGCGCTGAAAAGTCACAACTTTGTAGCTGGAGCTGCAGAAGTGTGCTTGGCGTGCTCAGTGTACTGAGTGTGCTACACTTGTTGCGACGTTTGGGCCAGAGCTGTCAAAGTTCACTAAATTAATGGCTTACTTTTTCCCACGCAAAAAACGTGTGGCTTTCGTAAAGTAATTCCCTGAAAGTTGCACGCTGGAGTTCGCGAAAAGGAGCATTGTGAAGAATGTCAGTTTCGTGAACAAGGAATCAGAGAGCCGCCACGTGGGCGCGTAAGGGCGCCCCAAACGGGTTTCTTCTTGGCTTTCCTTGAAAACCAAACAAAAAGGGGTACCTTCAACGAAGACACCCACGCAGGGAAAGCGTGGGCTTCCTCCTAGAAGCGTAGGATTCCTCGGAAGCTCTCCAAAGAGCACTGTGCGGCGCTACTTCCTTGTCCGGTGGCCCGAAACTTTTGTCCGTAACTGGCTGGTTCTCAGAGAATCCTTTGAAGGCTCTTGGGACTGATTCCCTGATTCCCTGGATGTAATCACCCGGTTCCACCCCGACTACGGTGCGCCTGTGCCGGACCAAAATTCCAGAAGAATAGCCACGGATGGCTCAGTTTGGGGTTCGAACTCATTCCTCGCAGCAATAACTTCCATTTGCTTGAGAATTATGTTATATTTCCCCCTGGAAATGGATTTATTTTCCAGGGGGCTTAAGCAAATGGCAGAGAAAAGCAACATGCGCCCATCCATCGCCAGGGTGTGGACTTCGTTGCGGCCAGCTTCGTGCAGGCCGGGCTTTGACAACTGAGCCGTGGGGGGGGGGGGGGTGTTGGCAGCGGGGCGTGTCGGGGGGGGGGGGTGTCGGTAGGGGGGCGGTTGGTAGGGGGGGGGATTCTTCTCTTGAAAAGACAATGCCCAGCAACCCCCAAACATGGGGGGGTCCCTCGAATTGAAAACACCCCCACCCCAAAAAGAAAGGCGCGATTTCGACCTGGGGGTTCGGGAAGTTCCAGCGAAAAAAAAGCCAAGTAAAGGCAACCCAAGCAGAAGGAACATCGATAAAGCATGAGGGGACACCCCTCCAAAATGGTTGCTTGTGTTTTGGTGTTCCTAGCACGCAATACAGGAGCCATGTGGGGAAACATGGCTGGGTTTAATGTTCCTGAAGCACATCCCCAAAACGAACACCTTTAAAAAGCGTGTGAGATCCATTCGAAGCCATGTAGGGAGGACCCGGACAGGATTCTTGAGGCCGCCGATGAGTCAGGACAATGGACCTCATTTAGGTGTGGAAGCTAAGGGAAATGGCTGAAGTCATGTCCAGCCATGTTTGCATATGTGGAGTGAAGGCAGGGTGAAGGAAGTAGAATGGCTGTGATTGAGTGATTGACTACTGTGGATGGACGAAATCCTGCACCACTTAAGAAACCCTGGAATGATGATTCCCCTGTAAATACCAACTAACAATGGTTCCCATGGATTCAAAGTGGTGTAGGATTCCGTCCATCCACAGTATGTGTGAGAAAGCACGCTGTTGCAGGATGCGAAGGACATCAAGCTTATCCGCGACACGCTTGGTGTTCGTGGGCGAAACATCAAGATTATCTCGTCGCCGGGCGGTATTCCAGGCCTTTAAGATGGACCATGAAGGTTGTGGTTGTTTAAAGGGAGACCAAAAGGAAAAAAACTTCACTTTGCTGGCCCTGTTGTTTCAGGACAAACATTTTATAACATTTTGATGAGCACTTTGCCTCAGTGGGGACTTTTCAGGCCGTCCAAAGGTCTTTCAACGAGAGGCATGAACGTGTCAACACGAGCTCAGGAAGATTGAGAACCAGGAGGGCATCAACAACATCGACGAGATCGTGGCAGAAACAGATGGAGTGATGGTCGCTCGCACAGGGCTCAGCTGTTAGCAAGGCAGCATGATCCCCGTTTGGTCATGTGAACGATTCGTCTCGTTTTGGCGGGGTGATCTTTTAAGGATCATATTGTTTCTCAAAACATCTCAACATGGTGGACCCCTTTTGCTTGGTAGTTAAAGGGAGACCACCAAGAAACCAAGGAGTTTTTTAGGAGAGTCCTATTGTGAGAGCGATTCTTGATCTTCTTCCCAGCTGGAACTCGACTGCAAGATCCCAGGTGGTGACATGGGCATGGAGATCGATATCGAGAAAGTCGGACTCGTGCAGCCGCTGGGATTTTTGCACGCCGACGGGCATCCCCTGCTAATTACGGAAAAACCATTGCAGGGGTGTCTTCCATTTGCTTGAATATTTACGATTTTCCTGCTGGTTTTAAAGGGAATCTATCACTACTGGAAGTATGCTTATTTTTTCCAGGGGGCTTAAGCAAATAGAAGGCAGTGTGTTTTGGAGGCTCGGTACCCTTGGGTCGGTTTAAGAGGGAAGCCAGAAGGACAACCGAAGCCCCATGTTGGGGTTCCCCTAGTTTGAAACATACCGAAGGAGAGTAGTGGGTACTTCGTCAAATTGCAACGTGACAGCTTGCATGCTTTGCCGAACATGCATGTTTGCCAAGTCAAGTTGATAAAACCCAATGTGTGTCGAGGCCAAATCTAGCACAGGCCAAACAAATGTCCAAAAGCGGGAAATGCAAGATGCGCGAATTCTCAGCGTGGGCTGCTTTTCCGGGCGAACAGCATAAGCCTTTAGACCCCTATGCAATAGCTGCAGCTGTCCTCAGGAAGATGATCATTAGCAAGTGCAACCTTGCATGCATCTTGGCGAGATTGGTTGCAATCCGTTTTGATCGAGGCCCCGTTGCTGGGGTAGACTTAGGATAAATATTATTACTTTTTACCAGGGACTCAAAGCGAAGCAAACAATAAAGTACATTTGTTCCCGGGTCTAACTCTAATCATGCCTGCGTTCATGCGTTCTTTTGCTTTTCCTTTAAACATGAAGCTTATGAGCTTATTTGCCCGGTGCCATTCTACGGATATGCATCATGGTCAATCATGCAATTAGGGATTACTTCATGATATGTTCAGCTATGTCATTGGTTCCATGATTTAGTCATGGCATGTGCCATTCTTGAGCTACCCTTTTGTGATTCCAAAGAAATGGAACCCAAGAAAAAACACGCCGCCCTCCCCTCCCCTCGACATGTTTGGTGGAAAACCACCTCCAAAGTGGTTGTTGGACATGATCCCACCAAAATTACGTCCAAAGGGTTCCGGACCATTCAACTTCACATCCATTGGACCCCTGCAGGGTCCATTTGAATGGCGTCTTCCCCTGTTCAAATTCACAGAGGGGTCTTTTCAAAGGGGACCCCCAAATTGGATCTTGGCTCAGAGCAGGATGACATTGCAGATGGATGATCAATTGGGTTTGTGTTTCTCAGTGCTTCCAGTTCCCATCTAGTAAGTAACCCTTCGGCATTCTTACCTCTTGGTTTTATCATGGATGGTTTCCCCTGGTTCCTTTTCGGTGAGCGGCTGGAAGCACTGGCTTTGGTTTCCCTATTCAAACCATCCAAGACCTCTAAAGATGGAAGTGCATTCAATTCCGTTGGCTTCCCTGGTGTCCAACCCACTTTGTAAGGGGTATATTCCCCTTTTGGGGAGAGGGGTATGAACAGCAGGCCTCTCAGTTCAGTAGCCCAAGGGCTATGTAAAAGGGGTATGTACTTGCTGGGGGAATAAGAAATGGAATGACCCTCATGAATTAAACCATCCAACTGCTGGTTTCCTTTATTCGGGACTCCCCTTTTGGTTCATTCATTCATTCCATTTCACATTCCCCTACCGATTTTCCGCAGCGATCGCAAGAAAACAAAAAAACAACGCCGACGCTGGCTGGAGTTCCTTCCCAAAAAAGAAGAACGAAAAGCCACTGGGTTCCTTCCCAGATTCCCCACCGATTTCGCAGCGATCGCAAGAAGCAAAGCCGGCGCTCGCTAGGCAAGTTCTCGGTGACGGCCACGCAGATGCTGGACTCCATGGAGCGGGCGCCCCGGCCCACGCGGGCCGAGGCCACGGATGCGGCCCGGCGAAGCGCCGGCGCGTGGTCGGATGCGGTCGGAACGTGAACGGAACGCAACGCGACACGTCGCGAGGAAGGTTGGGAGACGTTGAGTTTTTCTGGCTGCGAAAATCGCTGGGAATGAATGAACCTTATGCGGGGATTCCCGAAAGGAGTGCCTATCGCACCAGCAAGTTGTTGTTGTTTTTTTTGTTTGGGGGAGGGGGGGGGGAGGGTCCGGCGGATGAAGTCTCCATAGCTTCGCTCATGTTTCTTGGTGGCAACGCACAAAACATGGGGTTTGGCTTGAAAGCAGATTTGGACCTCCCAAACAACACAGAACAACTGTTTCCGGTTGGTGCCCCTTTGAACCAAGCCCACCAAGGGTAAGTACTTGCAAAAAGAGATATGCCCGATTCCCAAGTAATGCAACAAGTGGGGTCTCCTCCAAAAGGGTTTGATTTGCTAGGCTTAGGGTGAATGAACCATGACAATATTTGAGCTATGTTAGTGACTAGCGCACTCCGTTGGGCCTCCGTTGGGCCAAAGTTTAGCTCTGGACTCCCAAACAGCCCCAAAGGCAAAACTTGGGGTTCAAGCCGTCAAAACAATGGCGGTTAAGTTAACCACCAGTATTTGCCTAGGGAGTTTCGTCATTTCAATTGTCAACCATTCTTAGGGGTTGAACCCTGGGGCAAACCCAATCTTCCATTTGTTGGTCAACCAGGGTCATCTTTTTCTAATAAAGGACACTATGCTCCCGCCTAAGTGCGTCTGGAATCCTCCTCATACGAGGGAACTGCTACATGCCTGGACAACATAACGGGCTGGTATTTGTTCAAATATCGATGGTTGGACAACATGGGGGATCAAACTTATGAATTTTCCTCAAAGTGGGGGACACACCAAACTGGCTTTCTTTTTTGGGTTTGTGGTTTCCCTTGAAAACCAACAAAGCATGGTACCCTCGAAAAAGAACACACACGCACGCACACCCAGGTCCACAAACCGGCCCATGACTGCAACTCATGTACCTCATGTTAGACGTGCTACGGTGGATTCCCCACATATGAAGCAAGTGAATTCAAGTGAACTATTCACATCCAACCACAAATTCCCAGCACATGCGCTGAATTACAGAACTTCTTTGTTCCCCCACTTGCAGAGCATTCATGGTACCTTGGCTTCTGCAAATACATGTATGTTTGCTGGAGCCGAAAATCGTAGGGAGTCGCGAGTGTGTTTGTGGCGGGTACCCCTTTTTGGGGATGCCTAGGGGTTCGGGGTTCTCCAAAAATACAGTCGACACACAAAACTCACCAGGCTGCGCTGGTCGGCATTTTGTTTTCCCTGTCAAACAGCTCTAAATTCCACCCATCAAATTTTTTCAGGGCCGATTGATCAGCTTCCAAATGAGGTCCTGAACGCCATCCTGGATGGCTCGGACGTGGTCATGCTGTCCGGAGAAACCGCCAATGGCAAGTTCCCCGAGCAAGCCGTCGCCACCATGCGCCGAATTTGCGAGCAGGCGGAGAAGGTCATTGATTACAAGGCCGGCTCCGGATGTGTTGGGCCTTTAACAGGGGTTTATCAGGGCCCATGTGTTTGTTGACTTGTTGACATTCAGGTCAAGCCACTTTCGGGTTTCATGATGCTCCATGCCAATACTTGACAGGCTAGACACAAAAATGCATGCATCGCATTTGCTCCAGTATCACGGAAATGCACTGTCCAGCGGTTAAGTCAGACGGCAGCGGGCAACATGCTGACTGATAAGCTGACGTTCGCCGAACGCCAAACAAACCTCAAAACGTGTTTGAGTACACTTGCATGGAAACATGTTTTTGTTGGCCCGTGCTGACGCTACTTGTACCGAAGTCTAAGTAGCCTGATAATTGGTATTTGGTCATGGCGATTTCTGCCCGGCATGCTTCCGATCCATTTTTTCAGCGCAGATATGTACGTTTGACGAGCTCTCGCGGGCACACTAGAAGATTCCGGCGGTGCTTCACGCTTGGCATGGATAATCAGAGGTTGGGGTTCAGAACTGCCTTTTGCGTGTTTAGCTATTTGCTTGAACGCAAGTGTTGGTGTCCACTCTGGTGACTCTCTGGTGATGTTCTGACTCCAGTGTTGCATTTTTGGAAGGCAAAGAGCTCTCTCGTTTGTTCAAAGGCAATTTGGCATCCACATGACCCCCTCCCAAAAAGAAGGTAAAATGGCACATTGGACTGGAATCTTCGTACCTTCCCTTTGGGGTCGTTTCGCTAATTTGCAAAGCACATTTACGGTACCCGGCACTAGGATGTTCCGAATTATTTTGAAGGGTTCACAGTTCACAAGCAAGGAACCCAAAGCAGCTACGAGAGAAGATGTCGGCTCTGCTGGAATGTGCGCTTTCCATGCGGTTCCCACTTCTTTTTAACTTGTTGGGGTTTCCCGATGTTGACCTCCCAAAGGCAAGAATGGAGCCTGCCAGAGTTGGGAAAAAGATCCCGGGGGGGTCCTTTCGTGGGTGGTTTTTTTGGGGGGGACAATTGGGTGGTTTTCCCTTCAAAACCAAAAAGGGGGAAGAAAGACGAGCCCATATTTGGAATTGGAAATTCACCAGTCCGGAGGAGTCAACAAGGGGTAGCAAAGGCCGCAGGGGCCAAGGGCGAGCTCTTACAACCAAGGCCTGGGCTTATCGTTGGGCTTGAGGCCCCCCCCCCCCAGAGGTTCGTGGCAAGTTCCCTCTCACATCTGCCCTTGATCGGGAACCCCTTGGTGGTGGGATTTGAACCCCATAAGCTCCAAACCACAAATCCAAACCACTTAGAGGGAAGCTGACGCCTGAGTCACTGAGTCCTTGTACTTGAAGATCCGAATGGCGACCATCACCATGCACAAGTCCATGACACCTGCCCCGAGCTTACTCTTCGCTTCAAGCCTTAGCCATTCGCATCGGCCGTTGGGGAAGAAGCAGCCTTTGGTCCCCGAAGCAAAGCCAAGAGAAGACGGTTTACTGAAAGATTGGTTGCCTTACCCAGTGGATCTATGGCATATCCCAGGACTTAGGGAACCACCCTAGAGCTAGAAGGAGAAGGGCGAGACCCAGTGAAAAACCGATCAGGGGCTGAAAGACCCACAGGTAGGCACGGTGTCCAAGGTGGAGTCCGTGTGCTCCGCAGCTGTGAAGACTGTGGTGGACTCTGGATGTAGCTCGGATGCCTCGAGCTGAAGCCAGGGACCTGTATGGATGCCCTGAATATTGCAATCGAACAAGGGAAAACCCTCAAGTTTTGCGGTTGGAGGTTGTTGACTCACTTGCAATTATATGGGTCTCTGTAAGAGTTCAATGGCGTTTGGCTAAATTAAGTCAACAGCTCAGCTGCGCTAGCTGGGACAGAGCAGAAACCCAGCCGCTTGCACTGAGGCAAGCTGATTGTTGCCCTCACAGAGACGGGCGCTACAGCAAAGCTGATTTCGAAGTATCGGCCGCTTTGCCCGATCCTGGTCACTCGGCGGAGAATTGTATCGGTCACAACATGGGAATGCCAGAATGCCGTTTGCAGCCTCGCAAGGAGCAACCAATGCGACAAGAGGAAGTGTTGCTGCGAGGAATATATCGCCAGACACCGATAAGGAACTATACATATTTATATATATATATACCCAAAACCGATACCCACCTGCAAACCCGATGTTTGGACCAAACAAACGCCAATGGCCTGGCAACAGTGTCTGTTGCGGAGTATCCGATGACCTCGGATTTCTCCGCAGGGCGTTGTCCCCGATTGAGTAAGGGCATTGTCTTTGTCGAGGGGGCTTACTAAGATTGGTCCTCCGGACTCCGACTCCGAAATCAATCTGGACTGACTCCCACTTGAGAAAAATGTGGGTTCCCAAATTGGCCGACTGGCTGGTCCGACTTGTTCCCGGTGCATAGGTTGAACAACGAGCCCCTGGAACCCGCTCGAAATCCAAGGCCATCACCGCGAGCCCCAACACTCAGCGCCACCTCCTGGCCAATCGGGGCGTGCCGAGCTCGGATCCGCGAGAGACGAGACAATGGTGCCTCCTCCCCCGCCCTCCCCCGCCTTTCTGTGTGTTTGTTTTTTTGCTAGCAAGAACAACCAGAAAAAGGAGCATCGTCTTTCTTGCTTGGTTGTGAATGCGGCCAGTTTGGCGTATTTGTTTGGTTCTTCTTCTTTTTTCCTGTGTGCATTGCGAAGGGTTCTTCGGGCGAAATAGCCAGCCCAGTACGACCAGCGCACTCGCGCAAGCAAACTTGCACGAGCGCGCTTGCAAAGCACACTTGCATGAGCGCACTTGCACGAGCGCACTTGCACGAGCCTACTTGCGCGATCACACTTGCACAAACGCACGTGCGTGAGCACACTTGCACGAGCGCACGGGCAACAGCGACACGGGCACGAGCGCGCTTGCACGAGAACGCTACTTGCATGAGCATGAACTCGCTCAACACTCGCGCGAGCACAAACCCGCGCGAGCACAAACTCGTGCGAGTACACGAAAACTTGCACGAAATACCAAAGTTTTCCAGGGGGCGCGGTGGGACCGAACCCACCCATGAAAAAGACACACTGTGCGGGGATCGTCGTGGAGCTGTGGGGATCGGCGTCGTCGATGTGCAATTCCCTTGCTGGGATCGGAGTGGTCGTGCAAATATTTAAAATAGGACTTTTGCTAGTTTCCGCGGTTCGCGCCGACCCTCTGCGGGGATCAGGCACTGCTTTTGTGCTCGTGGATGAGTCAGCTGTCTCGACGTGATGCAGTGTGCGCAGACGCCGAAGCATTATCAGAGAAGGACGTACATAAACACGCGCGCACTTGCGCAGAGCGGCTTGCGCAGAGCAGCTTTCACAGAGCACTTTCGCAGAGCAATCAGAGCAAGTTGCGCAGAGCACTTGCGCACAGCAACTTGCGCCAAGCACTTGCGGCGGAGAGCAACGAGCGCTTGCGCACGGCAACTTGCGCAAAGTCACTTGCACAGAGCGCTTGCGCGGAGTAGCTTCCAAAGGCCACTTCCACAGAGCGACCTTCACAGAGTGACTTGCACGGAGCGCTTGCGCAGAGCAACATGTGCAGAGCAACTTGCGCAAAGCAGCTTGACGGAGCACTTGCGCAAAGCAAGTTCCATGGAAAACTTACGCCGAGCCATTTGCGCAGAGCAAATTGCACAGAGCAACATGCGCTGCATGCTTACGAAGAACGCTGGCACAGAGCAACTTGCGCAGAGCAAGCTGCGCGGAGCACTTGCATAGAGCACCTGCACCATGGCTTAAAAAAAGATTGAGATTTGCCTTGCGTTGCCCTTGATGGACTCCAGAGCGCGCGCGAGCCAAAGACCGCATTTTACATCATACGCCGCGCTCGCTACGTGTTTTGTTTCCGGGCCACCTGGATTTCTAGCTTGGGTGGCGAGAGGGGGCATGAGGGGGCCTTTCAGATCAGCCACCAACAGAATAGGTTCCCTTAAATCAATGAATTCCTGCCTGGTGTGTGTGTGTGTGTGCTGAGAACCAACGTCCAATGAGGGTGCCCAACCCCCAATGGAAACCCACCTTGGCGACCCCCGGCGCGGATGTCCCGCTCTTTGACAGACACGCCTTGTGAAGCTGTTGCAAAGCTTGAGAGGTGATCCCCATCCTCACGGCCACCTTTTTGGGCACAGACTCGGTGATCACAAAAGCCATCAACAAAGCAAAGGCGGGACGGGCTCGCCTGCCATTTCGTGTCTCACTCGCATCGGTGCACGCAAAAGGGCTTCAGGCTGCCGCCCTAACAAAGCGCACTGCTGAAACTAGCTTGGGGGGGTGGAGGGTTCGACACGGCCATGTTTCCCAACCTCCGGCTAACCAGGGGCAGCTCCAGAAAGGAGCCAGACTGCCTCAAAGCATTCAGGAGACCGGCGTCGTCAAGACCGGAGACAGCGTTGTGGCAGTGCACGGTCAGAAGGAAGGATTCCCTGGCTGGCACCTCAGATCCCCATTCAAGGGCCTAAGGGGATGTTCCCTTCAGGCTTGTGTTTGTTTGACCCGTTTAAAGGGGAGCCAAAACCAAAGCCACGATTTTGAGGGTCTCCCTATTTTGACACATACCCAGACCTATTTTGTAGTTCCATTACCTCGTTTGCGGATCTACTAGAAAAATAAAATAGGGGGACCGGGGCTATCTTAGGTGGACAGGTGTTTTTTGAACTATTGGCTTTAGTTCACAAATCATTTGCCTCAGCCATCATCTTCTCCAAAAGGACACCTGTCGGCGTAGGTGGCTAGAAAATCCATTCGTTTAGATGAAGGCTGCTGCCCCTCCCCGTACTCGCGACGCTTTAGGCCAGTCCAATCTCTTGAAGGTTGTGGCGGACTCAGTCGGCGACTATCGCACTCCAATCGCACATTGTTTGGAGCTAGGCGCTACCCGTAGTCTAAAGAACATCACCAGCGGTTTGAGGGTACTTGTTTCTGGTCCCTTGCAATGTTTGGTGGAAACACTGTGGCAAAACTTCCGGCGCTCTGAGGTGGTTGTTCAATGAGGGCGCACCTTGGGCGCTTGAAACCGAAATGCGGGGGCTTTGCTCCTGACCGTGCCCGTCGCCCGACTCCTCGCGCTCGCGATGTTTTTTCCACTTTCGATCTCGAGAGTTGTGAAGCCCTGCCGGCTTAGCGCCTGCATGGTGTAGACTCTGGAGGTGATCGCTCTTGGGCCTTGGAGCGCGGCAAAATATGTCAAGTGGGGCTCCTTTGGCGCCACATGGCGTCACCGGGGCAATTAAGAAGGTACGGTATTCCCTAAGGATCCTGGAGCTTGGTGTGGAGAAACCGGGGTTCCCCGTGCCACGCCCCAAGAAGTTTTAGGGGTGTCAAAGGGACCTATTTTGGGGCCCCATATTCTATCAGGACCCTTAGAGTTTGATTGCAGTGCCAGAAGTTCCTGCATTGCTAGCCTGGTGCTATCACAGGACCAGCAATCTTACCCGATGGACAGAGAAAAAGCAATGTGTGCTTGCGTGCTCTCCGAGAAAACGCTGCAACGAAGCAGAGATTTGGGACAAGGGCTTCGTGCCATGCGCATCTTTGGCAAAAGTCGAGGCTCATCGGGTCAGCTCCGGATTGAACAAATGGAGGGAGCATGGAGCTCAGCAATTAACAACAGATAAACAGCATGAATACCCAGCAATATACTCTACAACGCAAAAACATATCAATAACCATATATATATATATACACATAGATATACATATGTATATACATATGAAATAATCTATACATATATATATATATATTATGTGTAGACAGATATATATGCATATATGTATGGTATCGCAGTGGCTTTGACCCTTTCCTGGCTTGCCAACCCTTCCCTCCAAAAACATCATCTTGGCCATGCTCAGCTTAGCGCCGCCGACCGCGCGGACAGCGAGCATCGCGCCTGGGCTGCTGTGGGGGCTCCATTTTTGTGTCGTTTGTCGGGATACGTGTTACTCACTTCCTGAGTTCATGAACTTTAAACTTTTTGGGAGGACCATTTTAGTGGTAGATATAGTTTTTTTCGGGTCATCCACTCAGCCAGAGAGGTGATAGGGGGAGTCATGAGAACCAGGGTTTCTTAGGTGGTGGGAAATGGATTCGCCATCCAAATTACGGAGATGAGTTTTAACAGAGCCGAAACGGACATCAACATTTAGCGGGGATTCATGTCCGCCAACCACGTTTTCAGGAAATTCCCTCGTGAAATTCAGAACCATGCGGGAGGGGACATTTACAGCGCCGAAAACCGGTTGGCGTTTGGTTCTACCAAGATGGTGGTGAAGATTTATATGGGAGTGTCTTTTTTGGGGGATCCCACAAATTATGACTTTCCTTTTGGCTTTCCTTTAAACCAGACACAACACAGATACCTCAAAAAAAACAGATCCATGTAGGCTTTATTATACGTCCAAGTAAACCGGGCAGTGGAACCACTCTACTAAAATGCACAACTCGGGTTTGGGAGCTCGTTTGGAAAAAGGAAAATTGAAACAGCCACCATACGAGACTTCTTGCTCTAATGTTGAACATGTATCATGAGGAGTACCATGTACTGTTCAGTTTGGCTTCCCAATAGAACCGGAACATGCCTGCTTTTGAAGCTTCTGGTCGTGAAGCAAACCCCCCTGTCTTAGGTCTAGCTTGGGGAAGAAGTCTCACTTCCCGAGTTCCTGGACTTGTTGTTTTCTTCTTCTTCTTCTTTTTTTTTGGAAAAACCGTTTTAGTGACGACTAAGAAGTTTTAACTTCCGTTGGGCCATCCACTCACTGGGGAGGTGCGAAATCCGTGGACTCCGGGCTAGGTGCGACCATCGCGCACCTCCCTGCGATTCATGCCCGAGGCTTTAGGCCAGCGTATCCGCTTTTTTGTCTCGTTTTTTTTTATCGATAACATCGGGGGCTTGGCCCGAAAAAATGCCGGGGGGGGGGGGGAATGGTTTTGCCCAATGGAAAAAAATGGTTTCCCATGCTCGTTTCTGGGGCCAAGAATAGTGATCAACCGCCATATGGCGGGCGCTCCCACCAATGAACGTGGAACCTGACGTGCGGGAAATGGTCCCTTTAAAGGAAAGTGGTCCAGGACCCTTTGAACGTCAGCTTCCCCATTGATTGGTGGGAGGGAAACTTGCCCCTGGCTGGCTCAACGTTTAAAGGGCCGTGGTTACAGGGTCACGCAGGTGTTAGTCTTTGGTGTCGTTTACCGAGGTGCCATTTCAGTACATGTTTTGAGCCACAGCGATATGGGGGTTGATCAATATTCCTGGCCCCAGAAACGACCATGTGGTTTGGCAGTTTTCCTAATGGTCATCCCATGCCAAGGACGTTTTGATCAACCCCTATATGGGCATGGGTCAAAATCAAATATGAGGGGTTTTAGTCCATGTTTCCATTTAGCGGGGTTCCATTTTGGGCATCTATGTTTGACCCACAGGCATATATCCAAGCCGGAGAACATCTTGCAAAATATTGGGGTGCTTTTGAGTACCATTGATATGCTTTTAAAGGAACACCCCAAAAGGAGGCAAACAAGGTGAACCCGAGCAAGTCTGTGCCGCCACCTTTGTGAGTTTGGGTTTGGGAGCCCTTGAGTAAGTACCAGGCTTTGATTGGGACTCATTGGGGGTAACCCTCATTTGGATTCGGATGAGACAAAATCCCGGTCACCTCCAAAGGACTCTCAATCAATGGTACATGTCTATCGTTGGAATTTACCATAGCCTGGCCAGGGGGGGGGAAGGAATTTCCAGGTGATCAAGTAAAACTGGAGACCTCTTGTGGCAGGTTTCCAGCTAGTTGTTCGGCCGCTTAGGGGAAGAACCACATTCTGTGATTGCATTTTTCGACCACACGAAGCCCTTGAGGCATCGCAGGCTTGGATCCAGGCGCGTGCATGGTCGCCGCAGGCGGGACCCGTTGGGCTGGGAGTTGGGCGCTGGCTGCTTGGGGGGGAGGGGGGCTCTTGAGGCGGGGACGGGGTTGGAGATGCCACGGGGTCACGCAGGGAACCCAATGGCGTAGATGACATGATTTCCGAAAACAGTTGTCTTCCATGCATAGTAGTCAAATACAGGATCCCAATCTTCGGCAGTGTACCTTGGCTGAGGCATGGAGAAGGAGATTGCAACATTTTTGCTTGCAAACATGGACTTCACCTGCATACGAAAGCCAGCGCACGAGCATGCTGCCTCCACTGAAGGTTTGCAACCCATGGCTGTGGACGGAAAAGCATAATGGCTTCACCACGCCACAGTTTGTGGCTATTGTGTAGGCCGCATAGAGACAAGCCCTAGCTGCCCTCTGCTGGATTCTCCCAACAAGGCAAGCAAAGCAGTTGTAAGATGCGAGTCAAGCTGACTAAAGAATCCAACCGCGAGTAACCAACCCAAAGCAAGTCGTGGAGTTTTCGGGCATGAACCAGCGCTCCGAGTTTGACCAGGAAATCAATACTGGTGCTCCTTACGAACTGTCGCTAAATCATCAACATTATATACAAGACCGTCAATATGCATGGAAGCTGTCAATACATGCATAGCACCATGAAGATGCACGTCATAAGTCTATCTTCTTATCCAACAAGCCCAGTAGCAAAGATAGCCCATGAAATCTCAAGTAAGTTCGCCACAGAACCCACTCCCCCAAGAAAAGGTTCCCTACATGTCCCTGTTCAACATCCCCCCCGCCTAGCCATGAAACTCGCTTAAAATATTAGCCCAATGGTGATGTTTGACCCCCAAGTTCGCAAATCTAGGGAGTGTCCATGTTCTTTATCAAAAAAAAGAAAGCTTAGCAAGCAAAGATTTGGGCGAAAGCCACAAGCCTTCAGCTTTCCCTCTTCAAGCTTTGGAGGTGATCCAGCCCAAGCCACGCGAGCCCGGAGCCCGGCCAGGCGTGCTGTCCGCCGGCGCCGCTGTGGCGCAGGTGCCCCGCCGTGCCCAGCGGCTCCGGAAGCGCAAGGCCGGGCGTGGCGCGCGCGAGGCGCGCGCCTCACGCGCGCGATGTGCGCGTGGCCGTGTCCAGGGGTCCATGGGTGCGGGTCAAAAATAGGGCAACCCCCAAATGGAACCCTAGCATGTGGAAACATGGACCAAAACCTGCGGTCCGATTCCTGGTGGTTTAGTTTCGACCCATACCCATGTTAGGCAGGCATTTTCGTGCCACAGCAATTGGAGGGGAGAAGGAAAGAGGAAACTTGGATAGGACATCCCGAGTTCCTGGTTGAGGCAAGGAAAAATGACAACAATGCCAAAGCGAAAAGGACATCGCAATGACCGTTTGTTTGGGAGAAGAAGAAAGGGAAACATGGGTGAAGAAGTACAGGCAATCCCAATGACCTCTTTTTGTTTGGAGTATTTTGATGGGGGAAGCGACCCCCCCCATCCCACTTACTTTGTTGACTTCAAGGCGGAAAAATGATCCTTTCAGTCTTGCCGCCCAACAGAAGCCGTATTTGTTATACATCATTCTGCTAGCAGTTTTGATGGGTAATGCCTCCCCAATTGTTGGATATAACCCCCCACCTAAACAATGTTCACCAAAGTGCCCCAATTTTACATTCATACCCAGAAGGGTGTATTTTTCTCTAGGGTACCCTCCAAATGTTGGATTTCCTGTTGGTTTGGCTTTAAACCAAACCAAAAAGGGGGTACCCGCAAAGCAAGACACCCACTCTGCAACTTTGACGCCAGGCCGTGCTATCCCCACCTTCGCGCTTGCCGGACTTCCTGCGCACCCCTCTGCTGATCCCCGCTGAGAGCGAGCGCGAGCCTACGGTTCTGGTGGACTGCGGCAGCGGGTCCACGCGGGCCTTGCTCCTTTGCATGGCAGGGGCCTAATGTTGACTTCGGATTAGTCCGCAGAACGACCCAAAAACACAAAAAGGGCTTGTTTCCTCAATTGCTGAAAAGGAGAGCCGCCCCGTATTTTGTTCGGTCCTGCGTAATAATCCGAAGTGAACAATAATATGGCTGGTCTTTGGCATGACCCCAAAGGCTCCTCAGACCCTTGTGCTCGGCATGAAAGCTTTTGCTTGGCCCAACCTTGGGAGTACTCACCCGAGTTGAGCTGAAAGATATTTGTTCGATGGATTTCTCTGATTTTAGACAATCCCGAAACAGCTCCGTGGAGCGGGGATCAAAGGTTAGACCTTTTGACAGGGCTCCTTAAAAGATACATTTGGCAACCATTTGAAGCATGGCTTTTTCCACCAAAATAAAAGGAACCCACCATTTACAAGGCAAGCTTAGGTGTTTGAGCTCAGGGAGCAACCCTGATCATGGTTTTGTTCCCCTCGTACGGCATCTCCCAGGTACTTTCAGGACGACGGCCGGTCTCACGTGGCATGGGAGAAATCTGAGTGGCGAGGCGAGGCTTGTTCTTGACCACTGAGGGATTCGCAAGTTCAGAGGGACTTCCTGGAGCCGGGTATGGACAAGGTAGCTATAGTTGTCAAATGGTTGGTTTCCTTTGGGCCTCCTTTTTAAATGCCAACCAAAAGGGGTCCGTCATTTTGAGAACCCTAGAATTCCCCTGTTGCATCCTTTTTGTTTGGTTGCTCCAAGCCCCTGACTCGCCTGTTTGTCGCATTTCAATCGAGTTTTGTTTTGGTAGGGCGATGCTTCGCGGTGGAGGAGCTTCCTTTCTTGCTCACTTTGCGTAACAAAGTTGCACTCTTGCAAATGGATATATGTGTCAAAATAGGGAGACCCTCAAAATGGTTGTTTGCCCTTTAGGTGATGGCAGGTTCCATTGGGCGTTCAAAGTCAATCCAAGGTGTAGCGTCCCAAGGTTCTCAGGCGCGTAACTCGCCACCTCTGCGGCTATGAGTTGACCTTTTGTGAAGGGGCCTTCGCACCGCCGCTTTTGAATTAGGGCCGGATCCTACTCAGTGTGTTCGGGGATCCTTCTCAGAAGATTTGCCGATTTGCCAAACACCCTCGGGACATGTGCGCTTTCAGAGGCCGATGGGTGAGGAGAGTTGGATGATACTAGTCGTTGTTGCGGTTGCTTGAGTTTCCCTTTTTCACCAGCAAAAGTCACTTAGTTTGCATGGCTCTCCTTTGGTGTGACCAATTCGCTCCTGAGACCGTTTGGAAACAAATGGCTGCTAAACCCACAAAGCCTTAGGCCTTGTGCTCAGGGGGACGAGCCATCCAGTTTGTGGGTCCTTTGGCCAAGGTGTATAGGCTAGATGATATGTAACCCACCTGCCCCCCAGGCTGGGTTGGGGGCTTTACATGGGGCAGGGGTTGTAAACCAACTAATCAAAGGGCTCCAAGAGGGCCCTTTTGATGTTTTTCGGTGCAGAATCAAACGGTCCAAGCCTGTTCTGTGATCTTCAAGGATTCAGACGGCCCGGCAAATGAGCGGTTTGGATTTGTGGCTTGGATCTGGGTTTGAACCCTGATTCCCTGATTCTTGCTTGGAAGGGGTTGTAACCGAAGAATGTGCGGTTTGGATTGGTGGGTTTGAACCCCAACTCCTTGATTCTTGTTCTTGGCCCTTCACTGGAAAGCCAGGTGAGCCGCTGGCAAAGGCTTTGCACTGTGAGCTGCGTGTCGAGAAGTTGCTGCGCTTGTTGGAGAAGGAGAGCCAGAAAACCAAATTGGTTTGGATCCCAGTCCCCCTTGAAAGCTCACTCCCTGAGTTCATGGACTTCTTTTTTTGGGGGGGATTTGGACCGTTTTAGTGGCAAATAAGACGTTTGGACTTTCTTGGCCAGTCCACTCAGGAAGTGGCGACAAAGAAAAAATCAAAAGAAGGTTGGTTGAACACGGGGTGGTTAGTCATGTCGAAACCAGGGTGGGCCCCTGAACAGCTGAGGGGTAAGATCTAAGATGCTTTCCAGTACAAACCAGGATCCCCAAAGGTTTGGTGGGATGTTAAACCACTATATAGCCACCAAATCGTATTGTGCCTCTATGCCAAGCTCACCGCCAAGGAGGAGACAAATGAGCTAGGACTCGGTTCCTTCCTTATGTCCAGTGTGGGGTGCACAAAACTGGACCAGCCAGGTTGATGGGAGTAAAACTCGTTGGTTGAGGTTATATTTTGGATTTGTTGGGGATAAAGCATGGAATCAAAGGGATTAAATGTGGTTGATCGCAGGTTAATTTGGTGTTGTGGGGTCTCGGAAATGGTTGGTACACATGAAACCGTTTGTACTGATGTCCATTACAGGGTCATCCTCACATTGATGAGGCTTAGCGGAGCCCGAAATGAGCAATTGCAGGTGGACACTACTACCGGGTTACCGGAATAGGTTTTGATGGTCCTGCGTCAGTATCGCAGATGAGAAGTATCAGCTTTTGAATGGTTCCCCACGGTTCTTGTGGTAATGTCGGCGTGCACATGGCTATGTGTTTCAGAGGGAAACAGCCTCAAAAATGGTTGGTGGGACCCTCCTGTATAAATGATGTCCGCTAAAGGCTCGAGCTACATGGAATTCATACCCACACAGTTTTGGTTGTTGGGTTGTTGGACCAGAATCAACCATAGGAACTTTGGCGCGACAAAAGCTGAGGCAGAACATTCTGGTGTTCGGGTGGGGGCCCTTTTTTGAAGCCCCGACCTGTTGAACCCTTGCCCGCGTCAGAAAATACGATAAAACCGGTTGGTCAATTCGAAGGGAACCCCATGTTGAGTACTTAGATGGTCTGTGAGTTCGCCAAGTGCTTAGTTACCCTTAGTTATCAAAGCCATCGTTGTAAGTCCCCTAGCGTTACTCGCCATTTGGCTAAGTCTCAGACCCTGCCTGGTTTACAAGCAACCATGGTACATCCACAGTTGCAACAGAGCAGCAGACTCTCAGCTCCTGACAGAAAACGAGAGAAAACTCCCAAACCCAGCAGGCCGTGTAAGTCCCCAGTGTCACTCATAGCTCAGCTCGGTCCCATTTCGGGCCCTGCCTCGCGCCCGCGGCTCCAGGAGCTCTCGCAGCTCACGGCGAAGGGCCCGGTGCTGCTGGGCGCCACCGCCGGAGTGCGCCATGCCGTGGAGGAAGCGACGACCCAGTGCTTCCAGTTATAATGTTTCCCCATATTGTTATCAACCAGTTTAAAATAATACACTGTTGGAGGGGCCCCACCCCACCCCCCGTGAAAATAGACTGGGGTTGATTCATATGGGGTCAACATGAGTAGGTAGCCAGGGTTTCAGAATCAACTTAGGCAGATTTTAGCCTTGTTTTTGTGTGGTTGGTGACTGGGGTTAGTTCCCAACAACCGTGTTTATGACCTACTTACTGAGCTGGTTGAACAACCAAGAAGGGAATCCCACTCTGTGCTTCCAGGCAAGCCAGGAAAGGTGGGCAGGGTCTTGCTACCTACTATCGCGTTGGAAGCACTGGACCAGTTTATTAAGGGGGTTCCCCCTTGTGGGGATTCAGCACTTTAGGGGGGCACCCCAATTGAACAAAAGATAGCTTTATTCATGCGGGGTCATTAGGCTAGAGCCTTGGCTACTGGGCTCACTGGGGTTAGTCCCCTTATGGTTGTAGCTAAGCGACACCCAAGATGGGATCAGACAAATTGAGGGCTGCAAGTAGCTTAGAACCTTGGCCACAAGTGGTTCCTTGTTAATGCAGAGAAGAAAGCAGGGGCATTTGGGAAGTCAGTTTGAGAATGTGCAGCTTACCCGCACGAAAACCAACCAGTTGCATGCCCTTGTTTCCACTGTCAGAGGCCCGCTCGCGGGTCTCCCCGCGAATGGGTTCTCAGCATTATGGAAGTGGAACTGAGGGTTTGGAAGACGGCCATGCTCTCGAAATGCTCCAAAAAGGCTAGAATGTGTCAAGACCAGAGGCCTTAATTTGCCCATTTTCTGACGGCTGTGTTCCGAGAGGACGGCAGCTTACCAGAGAGCAAGCTCCAGCTCTTCCGGGACCGCCTGCATGAGACCTTCGGGCCGCGGGCGCGTTTCATGGTGCTCAGCGGCCAGGAGGAGGCCTGAACTCACGGAGGATCGGGGAGCATGGAGCGCGCAAGTTCCGGGTGCTTCCAGGCAAGCTGCAGGGAACCGATGGGTATGGCTGCCTCTAGGTTTTGTATCAAGATGTTCATAGATTTTCCTTGGTTGCCTATAGTGGTATCTGGAAGCGCTGCGCAAGAGAATGCAAGAGAAGTGTTATCATGAGTTAATTTGGTTGGATGTTTGGTTTTGAGATACGGGTCCCACAACCAATCGAATTGCATTACACCAGGATACACCAGGGGGTCTGGCAAATATGAGGTAAATCCATAGAACTGCTCCTTTGCCCCAAGCTTTGGGTCAGGCATATTTGTATGATCGAAACACATGTTCGTACGTAACCCTGGACCGCGCCTTTAAAAGATGACAAACCCACCTCAAATTCAGCAGGCTTCGCGCCGGAACACACCTGCCAGTGTTCAAAAGAAGCTGTTGGCAGCACCTGGATCCCGCGCTGGTGCCGGGGTTTCTTTTAAACAATGTCGGACTTATGAATTGAATCTGAATAAGGGGTTTCAGTTGGTTTCCCGTACCCATTTGAGCATATCTGGTTGCAAAGCCAAAGTCGCGGGTGTTGTTTTTGTTGGGGGGAGGGGCTTCAGATTTGGCTGGTTTTAAGGGAAACCAATCGGAAACGGAGACAAACCCGAAGGCCAGCGTACGCCCAAGAATGAGACTAGAACTCTTTGACAAAAAGAGGGCCCCAGCCAGACGATAGATGTTTTTTTGGCCCTATGAGCGCGAGAGAGAGAGAGAGACCTATATACACATATGGGTGTTTGAGGGAATCTCTCTTTTGGAGTGGTTTCAAAGGGAAATCACAAGGAAACTGGCCCTTTTGTGAGACACACCACACATCTTGGAGTGTGTGACGAACATGTTGGACTTTACATGTTTCTGTGGTATTCTAAAGGCCAGCAGGCAACATGAGATTCTGGTCTAAGACCTGTTCAGCCCTTTCCGGATTCTTCATGGCCACCCTCCCAGACTTGCCGCACTGAGCGGACCCCATGTTTTGGACCATCTGGTTTTTGCTTCAAGGGGAGGCCTGAGGCTCAGTAGCACTTGGATGTGGCTTTCGACAGGCACTTGGAAGGGCTGCCAAGATGATATGTGTCAAGAGAGATGTGCCTGGCTCGTGTGACTGCTTCCCTGTTGTGGGACTCAGACTCACTTCAAGAACAAGGTTCAAGCAAACATCAAAGAAAGGCCCCCATGCGCATCAGGGGAGTGTCGAAATGCTTGCAGTCCCTTGCAGGCTAGGGCTGAGTGGGAGGCGCTCCAACACGCCCTGGACTTTGCCCCCGATCTGAGCAGAGACTCGGCGATCTGAAGCCAAGTCCCCTTTCGAGTGCCCAAACAAAGCGCCTCTTCCCAGGTCTGGAGGTTGGGTGCTTGAGAACAATAGTTGGACTGTTTCTAGAGGTTACCAGAGTTAGAGAATGGAATCGGTTGTTTCCCTTTAATTTGCCCCCTGCATTTAATCACCAAGCTTGGCTGCTGGCTGCTGCTGGCTGCCAGCTGGCTGCCAGCTGCGTTGCATGCGTCTCGCTTGGCTGCTACTCATCCGGAGCTTTACGCCTCCGGATCGACTTCTTTTGTCGGGTGACATTGATCATGATAATCTTGGAATACCCCCTCTTGGATGAACAACTTGCTGGTGCTGACCCAGGATGCCGTTAAAAGAAACCACAAGGGATGGTTTGTGGGGGTCATTCCCTCATTCCCTACTGAGCACCAGCAAGAAAATGCAGTCCGCTCATGTCAGCCATCTGCCTGAAGTGATCCATGCATTTGAGTTGCGAGGTTCTTGAGCGGTGATCACCTCAGAACTGAAAACCGAGTCGGTCATTGGACCATTGGAGGGTAGGGAGCCTACTCCCCTGCAGAATAATGTGAAATCCGACAACAGCAACCAAGAATCCGGAAAAAGAGTCTCTACAGACTGACATGATTCGTAGAGAGTCTGGTTGGTTGTCCCCTGGTTTCTCCAGGTTTTGTTTCAATCCGCATCGAATCCTCATCAGCGCTTGTTTGGGCCTCTCTGGACCTCGGTTGATCCCTTGACCTTGATTCCCTTTTTCAGCTGAGTACTTTTGAGGGGCGACCCATCCTTGTTGGGGTTGGTTCTTGTTCTGCGCCGTGTTCAGGAGAAGCAGCCCCAGCTCAGCACTTTTGAGTTCTTGCTTTTCAGTTGGTGGCAACCCTTGTGCCCAAGATCGTTTTCAGCTAGCTGCGTGCTGAGAATGCGTGCAACTCAGCGTTGCGCGTGCTGCGTGCCGGCACGTCTAAGGTGGAAGCATCTCCAATCGGGGGACTCCTTTGGGTTTGGTTCTGACTCATTTGGGTAGTCAGGAGACCACTTCGATGGCATGCTGTCCGGCGGTGGCATGTCCTGCCAGCTGGTCCTGCCTCTCGGCTGTCAAAACCCCGGACTCATTGGCAAGAGTCGTATCTGAAGATTGCTTTTCAGGGCGGGATGCCACCCATCAGAGTCTGAAAAGACAAGTTGGGAAACTCAAGGGAAAATGACGGGTCGAAAATTGTGAGGATGTCACCTTAATGAACACAGTTTCATTCGTCTGATCCATGTGGACCCTACTTTTGACGTGGGCCCACTTGCAAGTTGTTGCACTTGTGGTAAAGCTTGCTACCGTGATTTACAAGCGTCCGTTGTAGGTCCTTTTGTTGCTTTGGTGGAAAAGAGATGGCACTGGTTTCAGTGTGTATCTGATCGCTGTGACCGTGTCTTCTTGCCGCATTGGTTGTTCCAAGTTGTGGCATTCTCCGTCAAAGCAATTCTCCGTCAAAGCAATATGCCTTCTTCTGAAGCCTTGCTTGATTTTACTGTACTTTATAGTCCTGTGCCCTATAACTTCTGACATGGCCCTAATTTGACCAGGGCTGAGCTTGTGCGACCGAATCCAGGTGTGTCAAGCACGAATTCTGAAAGGGGGCCTGGTTCTAGCTTTGATACACAGGGAGGTGTCTTTTTGTTGAGTATAAGGCAAAACTGCCTCCATTTCAACCCCACAGTCAACAAAGTTCGAGGCTTGCATGCCCTCGAAATGCAGGACGCATGTTCGGATTTCGAGACGCGAGCGCGGATTTCGCACTGGTCAAGCACTGGGAAGGCGAATCACATCTCTGGGTTCGACTCCTTTCCTTTCAGTTTGTTCCTTAGTTCCCTCAGCTTCCATCAGATCAGGGGAATGATTGCAGCTTGAAACTGATTCCCTATCCCCACCTTCAGATGGGTTTCATTGGGAGCTTGGAACTTGCGCCGCAAAGTCAGGAGAGAAGGACATTAGCGCACACTTGCAGAAAGGTTGTCAGAACCTTTCTATGACCTTGGAAGGCTCCTTCCCCTACGATTTGGCTCTGACTTGGTGGAGCCGAGAAGGGTTGAATGGAGCAAAATCCTGCACCAACCTACGGAAGAGGCGTTGACCTGACCATAAACGGCTTTGTTTATCCATTTTGGGTTCCGGTTTCGGTCCAAAAGGTCCAAATTTCTTGAAAGAGACAGAGCCTTCTGAGGCGAAGAGACGGAAGCTCTCCGGATCTCTTCAGCTTCCGCAACGGGGTCTTGGCCCCCGCGGGTCTCGCGGACCGCGCCGGCCGGGGCGAGCTGCTGGCGGAAGACCTGGCCGCGGAGCTGGACGTTTTGCAGCGGAAGGCGGAGGAGGGGCGCTTCAGGTGGTGTGCTGTGATCTTTTATTTGCCTCAGAATATGTTGCTATCTTCCTCTGTTGGTTTTGAAGGGAATCTGTGAGCTTCCATTTGCTTAAGAACAAAGCTCAGTTACAGTGAGCTTCCATTCCTGCTCTTTTTTGGGTGAATTCCATTTGCTGAAATGAAGTTTTTGTCAATGTTGGTTTTGAAGGGAATCTGTCACTACTGGAAACATATATATATATATATAGTTCTTTTTCTGCAGGGGACTTAAGCAAATGGAAGGGGGCGTAGGGTCTTTCTGAGGGTTACTCGTTTTGGAGTAACTGGGAATCAAAAGGAAGCCAAGCCTTGAACTTCTTTAATGTGACCTATTGTAAGGTACACCCATGTGTCGAAATAGGGGACCCCCCAAAATCTTGTGATGTTCCTGTATAGGTTTCGCTAGAAACCAACCCTAAGGGGCCGAAGGGTATCCTCAAAATTAGGCGAACCGGTGGCCCGAAATCATAGCATACCGTGAGCGGCTTTGGTGTTGCAAATGTTCAAGTCGTAACTGCCAGAGTCTCTGCAAGGTTCTTGCTCAAGATCAACCCGCGAGTTTCTTTGTAGAATGTCTGCGTGCAAGTTCTCTGAACCAATGGTCTTTGCGCCAGTGGTCTCTGCGCGAATTCACTCTGCAAGTTTCTCTGCGCAAGATGTAAATTCAAGCTCTGCGCGAGTTCTCTGTGCGAGTCTTTCAAAACTTATCTGCTCAAGTTTGTCTAGTTCCGCAAGTTCTCGATACATTCCTTTCGCAAGCTGTTTGCGCAAGTTCTCTTTGCACGTATTTTTCGCGCAAGTTATGGATGCAAGAAAGCTCTCGGTGCATGTGTCTTTGCGCAAGCTCTCTGTGCAGCTCGCTCTGCAAGTTGCAAGTCCGTTTTTGCGTTCCCAATGCGGTTACACCTCATCAAGTTACACATCGACCACACCGATCCCTACAGACGGTTTGCGCGCGCAAATCAAAAGGCGCAAAAACCTTGAGCCACACGGATCCTCGAAGAGGGCCGGGGGCGATCGCAAAAACCCGCCAAAGTTCACAGCTTTGGCACATCAACCACATGGATCCCCGATCCCTGCGGGCGCAGCAAAAAGTCGCAATTCCCAGTTCGACACAGACCATGCCCATTCCCGCCGAGTGCGCTATTTTTGCAGGGTGGGCTTTGTCCCTTCGCGCCGCCTTCAAAGACCACTTTAGCGTCCGGCGGCCCACATTTTTTGCGCAAGATGTCTCATGCGAGCTCTGTTGTTGTGCCTGCTCGCGCGTGCAATTTGCTTGCGCGTGTCCTCTCGTGCATTTTGCTACGAATGTTCTCTCGTGCAATTTGCTGCGCTTTCTATCGCTCTTCTTGCTCTCGATCTGTTACTTGCTCTGTGCGTGTGCTCTGGTGCTACTTGCTGCGAATGTGCTTTCGTGCTACTTGCTCTGCGTTCGAGATTACGCAACTTGCTCTGCATGTGCTGTGAAGAGCCCTTCACAATGCTTTCAAGGAAACCCACCCACCCACCCACCCACCCACCCACCCACCCACCCACCCACCCACCCACCCACCCACCCACCCACCCACCCACCCACCCACCCACCCACCCACCCCCACCCACCCACCCACCCCCACCCACCCCACCCACCCACCCACCCACCCACCCACCCACCCACCCACCCACCCACCCTCCGGTTTTGCGCCCGATGACCTATCCAGTTTCCTGACTTGAAGCTTGCTAGGGTATGGAGAAGCCTTGCGGAATGTGTTTGTTTGACGCCGAGAATCCCACTCGCCTGGGTACTAAATGGCACATAATGTTTAGTTGTTCCTAGAGGAAAGCAGATTTGATAATTTGACTGACTTTGCCAGACCCATTGTTTATGTTCTAGGAAAACAAAGAGCTGCGTAGGTTTGCGTTAGGGGCAGACAGCATGTCTAAGCACTTTTCTGACCAATCCACTCCCTTGAGGCTTGCAACTGGTTATTCAAGCTCCCTGGCAGGGGGCTCGATCCTAGCATTCTCTCATAAACGAGTTGGTGTGCTGTAGGATTAGCTTGTTTTGGCCACACGTGGCCTAGCTGGTCTTTGGTGTGACCGAATCGCCCCGTAGATCTGTTGGAAACGATTTGCTTTTCCATTAGACCAAAGGAGGTGATCGACCCTTCTCTCAAGGCGGAAGCGTGACTTCTGTCCAGCGACGCAGCGCTAGGAGCAGGCGGCGCGGCTGCCGCGGGTTGCTGCCGATGGTTTTGCGCTGGTGGAGTGGCTGGGGCTGTTCGTAGCAGGGGAGTCCACAGAAAGGGACCAGGTGCTGGGCATGGGCTACGAGCGCTGGCTCAGCCGCCAGGAAGGGGCTGGTTTGGATTGGGGGGCTGGTTTGGGCGGAGGTTGGCAGGGCGGGGTCGTCTTGAGCTAGGCTTGGAGTTGGGGATAATTTCCACCCGGGCCCAGCGGCTGGCGCAAAAAAAGCCGCAGGTGAAGCTCAATCCACCAAGCCAAGCTCCTCGTGTGGATGGTGATAGCTTTTAAAGCGACAACGTCAAATATGGTTCAAAGCCATAGGCATGGAGCTTTTTGCATGCTCAAGTGGTCAAGGCGAGTCCCGCCCATCATTGTCACGCCCGGCACCGCTGGCAACCGCAGAATCTGCGCGTGCTGAACCATTGTGTTGCTCTTCGGCTTGTAAACGTTCGCATTTCTCTCGTTTCATCTCCTTGTCATTGGTAAGCGGAGCTTTGCGGTCTTCGCAGAGCCTCGTTATCCCGATTTTGGCCATGCCCCCTTGGCAGGCCAGCAAGGGTTTGCGCCTAAGCCCGCCCTCAAATTGCTCATTGCCAAGTCCCCTACGCAGATCCTGTTGCCAGTCAAAGGGTCCTCCGCAATGCAGATTGTCTTCCGATTCGCTTGCCAACCCATTGCAAGAAATGGTCATTGCGCATGATTGCGTGCAAGAGCACGATACGCGAAAGGATCATACGGAAATCCCAGTGCGTAACATGGATGAAGGCAGACGCATAGTTCCAGGGTAAGCTTCTCCGCTGACCACTGGAGAAGCAGCAACCAAGGCTGCTGCCTAATTTCACTGCTGGCCTTGCTTTCGTTGGGTGAGAGACGGAAGCACATAAGTTGTGTGTGTGTGTGTGTGTGTGTTGCATGTGTCTTGATCTCTGGAGTGCGCATTTTGAACGGTTCTCAAAACTACTTTTGGGTGTGGCTTTCAGGATGCGCCTTTCACGGACCTAGGACTCCCACTTGACGACAAACCCACTTAGCAGGGATATGGGAGCAGGAGATCGGGATGTGGGGCCATTCACTATGGACCTGCTGTATTGGTTCCTGTCTCGCCCTTTTCCTTGTCCTGCATTCTGGTCAGTTGTTTGTCCTGGGTCCATGAAAGCCACATCCTCAACACCGCACCCTCTACATGAGCCGCTTTTCACAGGTGGGAGGGGTATGTACGGAGGGAACAGTTGGGAAACCCCACTGTCTGGCGTGTTTGTCTCAAATAGGGGGCCCCCATTGCCTCTTGGTTTGCCTTCAACATCAAAAGGAGTTGCGGTGGATGCTCTGAGTATTGGAACAAGGGAAACCCTGTAAATTCAACCTCAAAAGGATTTCATTTCACCCAGATTGGTTCCAAAACGACGCTTGCTCAAAATTGAACCATGGTTTGTGGTTGGTTTACAGTACTTGCCAAATTACCGTACCTGTACTTTGCTGCATTTCGCCTGGATGTTCGGATTTTGACTTTTTGCAAACCAATTGGTTTTCCATTAAACCACTAAAAGTTAAAAACTTTGAGCAGGGGAGCAGAAAGCAGCCGAGTAAAACCGGTTCCAGGAGATCCTGGAGAGGGTGTCAGCGCACCTGGCGAAGCTCGCTACCCAGTACTCGCCCGGCGCCGGCCCCGTTCCGCGGCGGGCGGCCATTTCTCTTAACTACGGCATCATCTTGCGCGCGGTTCTGCAGAGGCTGGGCAGCCTTTTTGTGGCCACATTATGCCCACACAAAACGGGGGGGGGATTGTGACTTTGTTTTATGGGTAAGATAAATGATTCCCAAATGTTCAAAAGGTTTCCTGCCAAACCCCCTAAACCCCCCCAGAATGCGAGGCAATGAACCTGCTGATGGTTGTTCTAAGGGTTGATTCCAACCATTCTTTCCAACCATCGTTCTTTTCGGACACCGGATCCGTTTCCCTGGGTTTCAGGAGGTCTTCTAGAGGAAGGATCCCTGGAAAGAATGGGGAAGCTAGCACTAGAGTTGTGTCTTTGTTGAGGGCAAGACAAATGAGTCCTAGATTTCAACACATTCCCTGCAAAAGCCCCTAAACCCCCAAAACGCGGGGCAATGAACCTGCTGATTTAAACCTGCCTCAGTACTTGTTTCCGGTTTCAAAATGCAAATGTTTAATTCCAGGAAACCCCCGACCAGCGGGGGGAGTAAACCCCGGGCACATGTGTTTTTTTTTTGTTTTGTTTTTTTGAGTGTTTCACCATTTTGAAAGCACGTCCAAGCCGGCTCGCTCCGCTCGCCAGTAAACACAGTAGAGATGATACATAGTAGTAAAAGAAACAAACAAACACAGCCATTTTGTGTTTTTCCGTTTTTCGCCATTTTGAAAACAAGTCCAAGCTGGCTCGCGTCGCTCGCCCGCAATCGTTAGTAGAGATGGGGCTGGTTGCAGAATATTGTTTGCACAACCAGACCCTCCCTTTGAGGGAAACCAACATGAGGCTGTTTAACATAGTGTACCACCGCGATTAAAGATCAGGTGCAGCAATAGTGGTTGAAACATGTTCAAGGGCTTGGCGGCTGGGATTGGATTCGTTACAACCCCAACAGATAATCAAAGGACACTTAGAAAGGGGCCTCAAAAGGGGTTTGGTGTCCTTTGATTGGTTGGTTGCAAGCCGTTGGGCGCAATCCGTGAGGTGCTTTCACGCCGGCTCGCGCTTTTACTGTCTGAAGGGTGTCAATTGGAGCACAGGGCACTATTTGCTGCACAGAGAAGTTCTTGAGCAGTCTGCGCTCCAACAAGTGTGAGCTTAGTGAGCTATTCCTGCATGTGTGTCCTAAGGTTTTTGGTGCAGCTAAGCTGCGTACTCTTGCGGCAGACACTTTGTAGTGATGCTGAGAAACATTGTGAAACTGGCAGATCTGACTGGCGAGGACAGAGAGTGTTTGCAGTAAGCATTGAGCACGGGTGTCAAGTAGTTAATTACGAGCCATCCAGTCGGGCTTGCCGCATTAAGCCGAAGTTCCCTTGAGCTTCGGCATCATGGTGCAGTGCTCGTGAGGGCAAGGTCTGGTAAAACCAGCAGGTTTGGTGAATTGCTGAGGTCGGCGCAGCAGCTAGCAGCCTGTATTTGCTACGCCTGCTCGATGTTCGCAAAATGCGTTCTGGTCGTGCCGATTAGGAAAGAGCTGACAAATCCTACATGTTTCATGTGAATGGAGGCCAATGCTTTTGAGCTATCGGCTGACCATGGCGGGTGTAGGTCTCACCGGAGTTCTTGTAGCTTTGTTCTCAGCCTTGCAGCCATTGGGCGAGGACTCTATGACTCCCGCATCACTCCAAAAGTAGCTCCTGTTTGGTCGTACCGGAGTTTTACCGATGTTTGCCAGACAACCTACCAATCTGATTAATCTGTTAGACGAAAAACATCAGAGTGGGCCAGAGCGGGTTTTCTTGAGCTGCTGCAGCTCCGTCCGAGCGGTCGCCTCGGAAAGCTTTTCGCTTCGAGCCGTGGAGCCGGGCTGCGTGTGGCCGGTTTGCAGGCTCCTTTGCCCCATGCCAAAAAAAGGGGCGGAAGGCCGATGTTCGGTGTTCAAGGGGATCCCTGCCATCGGGGGCCCTTTGGATCTAGCTTCAGAGACAGGTATTGGATGTCGAGTAGCGCAGTATGACGCAGCGGAAGACGCAGAAAGTGAGGCAGCGATGCTGGGCGGTTTGCACGACATGGCTATGAGTTTGAAAGGGGAACACTCGTAAGCATGATTGGTGGATACAAATGTTAACCAGAGGTCTCCAACTAATGTCCATACCCGGCCCATATCTGATTGGATGGTAGTTTCAAAATCTTGATCCGGGCATATGTCCAATGAATTTGGTTTTGGGCTGGAAGAGCAAAGCTGTCAGGAGTCAGGGATACGCTTGGATGCGGCTTTTGTGGATCCACTCCGGCCAAATCCGGACCAAGCAATCCATTGGAGTGCATGCCATAAAGAAAGATGAAGTGCCATAAACAATTCATGGAATCCACGAGCAGCCCATCAAACCATAGAAGATTGCTGGAAAGCTGGTAACTGGTAAAACACTTCAGCTTGCTGCATTTCAGATCAGAATTTACATTCAGCTTGAAGAGGGAGAGAGTACTTCACGAGCAAGCAGCAAAGTCCACACATGGGCGAAGATCTCACGGTATAGCCTCAATCCGAGACTTCTCAACTTATGTGACGTGAGAGGTGCAGCGCAGCTGAGCCATGGTAGACTACTCCAAATGGGACAAGCTCGAAGTCTCTGACGAGGAATCAAAGCCAAAGAAATCCCCGGTGCCAGAAGCGAAGGTGCGGTCTGAGGTTTGCCTCGACTCGCCTCATGTGAGACCAAGTGGAGGTCTGTTAAAGACGCCTCCGAGAGCTATGCCTCCCACTGCATTTTTAGGTGGTATGTTGAAAACCAAGTTTTTCCGTGGTAAATACCAAAATCATACCCTTAGGAGCATGGGTATTGAGTGGAGGGGGTGGGTTTTGTTGGAGATGGTCCCAACCCAAAGCTGTGCCGTCAGTTGGCGGCCTTCGCTATTGTTTTGTTTGGTTTCAACGGAGGATGTGTTTGTTGTTTGTGTTTTTCTATGATATGGCCGGCCGGTTAAAGCTGCTAAAAGAAGATGCACGCCACAGCACAAACAGGCTCCAAACCCACCCAAAGCCCACTCGAAGTCAATCCTAAAGCCATCCGACAGCAAAAGGAAAAATCGACCTAGTAAGAATAGCCCGTCTACCAGCAATGGTTGGGAGGAGTAGCCAAGCAATATGAAGGCTTCTAGATTTGGACACCTTGCACATTTGACTTCAGGTGCCGCCCAAAGCGGCGCCCAAACGGAAGCTGCAACCCTTTGACTACCATCCAGAGAAGTCTCTTCACAAGGACTGCCGCCAAGCCTAGTCCCACGCAGATTGACATGGAATGCCAGGAAAACCACCCATTTTAAAGGAGCTTCCTTCTGAAAGGACCCCCTTTTGGGGTTCCGTGAACTTTGCAGGGTAAAGAGGCTATGAAGAGATCGGTTTTGCCCTTGTCAGTTTTTGTGTGTGTGCATGCGTGACAGAACAATCTGCGGCAGTTGACTCGAAGTCATTTAAGTTTTTCTTGTTTTTGTTCTTCTTCTTTTTTCGAACCAAGTTTCGATGTTCTCACATGTAGACCGCTTTGTGTTGCAGCCTGCAAGGACCTTTTCGAGCCCGAAAATTGGAAGCGATGGATACATCCATCACTGCTTCAGACCATTTCTGAATGGCAAAGACTGAAGCAAGCTGGTGAAGTTGCATCGTTCCGCTGTGCCTCGCGCAGAATGGCAGCTCCAGACTTGGGATCCCTTTGGCCGGCTTGCGTCTTTGGCGTGCAGAAGCTGAGGTGTTGACTTGGAGAAGATGGAGGGCTTCAGAGTTGAGGCGCCTGGAATCTGCAGCTTTCCGGCCTTGACGGACGAGTTCTGCGACCTGCTCATGCAGGAAGGGCCTGGTTTGAACCGTGTGAAACATTCTTCACATCCTGACATCATAGGGGAAAATCATAGGCAGATCTTTTCCCAAGTGCTTGTTCCAAGCGTTTTGCTCTTAAGTTGGTCCCAGAAGCATGGCTTTTCGGCAGGAGGTGCAGAATTATCGCGCGAGTGGATTGCCAGCCAGAGCTCCCAACAGCATGAACAACTACGGCTTGGTCCTGAATGAGAAGCTCGTTTGCATGTAGCCTGCACTGCTCCAGTCAACCAAATGAAAAACCAAGTTATCCCAGGGTGTCCAGTCACCATGGTAAGTCCGATTGCCCAAATTCAATTATCGAGCCTGGAACTTAAAGAACCACCACTAGAGCAGTCTCCCTTTGGGGACCTCTCTTCCACAAAGGTTGAGCAACTTTCAGACTACCTGGGCCAAAGGGACCGGGTCATCTATGCGAGTCGCCCTGATGTTCGACATTTGCCTTGATTAGCTCGAACACGGTGGGTCTGAAATGGTACATCATCCCAGTGTTTCTCGTTGATTAGTAGGTAGTCAGGGTTTCTTATCCATGCTCCACATGGCGGCTTCCCGTTGTTGCCTTCTGGTAGCTGGAAGCACGGGGCATATTGTCCACCGCGAATACCCGACAATATTGAAATCAGAAAACGATCAAACCACCCAACACCGATGTCCATCAACCTCCAAACGGATCGCCCGCGCGACATCCTGGAATTTCTGTTTCTGCCACTCATGTCCGCAAGACTTGTGGGGAAGCACTCTGCATTTTGGTAGGAATGACCATAAACCTTGGAACAGGGGTTTACATTGCCAGACTTAACTTACCATTTAACCTTTTGAATTGTCGGTTTTCCATCCTTATCAATTGTCCACCGGCAAGCCTTTTCGAGGAGGTCTGGCCCAGTTTAGACCAACAGAATCCTATGAATGGGGAGCAATCGCTCCCACACGCATGGAAGCTCAAGAGAGCCGGGAGTCACTTTCAAGACCCACGCTGGGTCGGTCAACATGTCATGTCCAAGATGTGTTCTGCCACGGAAGTGCGGCGTGTCTTGGAAGACCATGCTGTACTGGGTGCGAAATGGATTATACCAATTTTCCCTACATCGGCGAAAAGTTGTGGTAATTCGCCCAGCTCCGATGGCATCCAGTGTAAAAACGACCACTGGGCGCTCGGCCACGAGGATTGGAATGCGCCCCGCATTTTCCGCAATCCTGAAGGAGGTTCTGCTGCCACTTGGGGCAAGGCCTGCACAGCTCGCATTCATGACAGGAAGGAAATTGGTATATGGGAGACATGGGATTCGGATATCTGGATGGTCCACTATGTTCGAACGCATTGTTGCAGCTCGTGTCAAGGGAAGGCACTGCGCTCCCGACTTGCAGGCTGTTTGGTGATGATGAAGACCGGGTGGCATCGGTTGGTGGAGTGGCTGTGGAGACGGAAGACTGGGGTGGTTCCAGTTTGGATGACCACCATTCCTTCATCGTGCAGTACAGGCCAACCGATGACAAGCGCCGCGATGGCACACCGTTTGACGTTTGCACAAAAGTTGGGGTACCGGTTTGGATGGCCCTTGTCGGCGTTGCAGGTTGGTGGGTGGCGGTTCTGGCTAGGCTCTTGTGGGTCTTTGTGGTTATTCTGTTGGGCACACATGATTAGAGCAGTTCTTGGGTTGTTCGAAGTCGCAAGCACAACATGTTTCGGATAAGAGAAAAGCAAGCACTTGACTCATGCGAGGCACCTGGACATGCACATCGATGAATGCGATGCCAACACCTCAGTTAGTGGCATTTTGTTTCTGGTCAAATTGTGGCGCAAGCTAAGGTTACCTTCAACTTTGGCATAACTGCGCATGGCAAGTTCGACGGCAATGACCTCACATTTTGTGGCATGTTTGACTCAGCTGACCACCGCAAATACCATCACAGGCACCCATGCTGCATGTTGATCCACTTGCATTGGGTATTCTTGCAATTGGTGCGACCTTCCAAGGGGGTGTTGCGACCTCACTCGTGAAGATTATTTCATGGGAATTCCTCATGTTCCGCTCATGAGTTCGATCGCGAGATGAATCAAGGCGTGTGTTGTTCCTTCAGGTACAAGCATGTGAGGGGGCGATGTGTGGTACACTCCGGCAAGCGCAGACATGGAGCCATGGACATTGAGAAGGCCAGCGTATGCAGCAAGCCAGGGTGGTGTTTGTTGGTTGTTTCAGCCTGATTGGGATTTTGGAGAAAAAAACATCCCCACACAACAAAACAGGGCACAAGAGGGACCTGATTGAGGGCAAGGAGCTTGTTGCGGAGGCCTTTCAGGAGGTTTTGGAAAGAGGGGCGTTTTTAAAGGCCAAATCTGAAGCTTACAATGCAATTTGTTTGGTGTACCAGAGTTGGGCCAAGTCTTGGCAAGTAGGGTGGGGCCACCCATTGTTTTAACCTGTTTAAACCACTGGTTGTAATGATTCTTCCCTTGTAAAGGTGGTGTTTAAACCATATTTTGCCCCACCCAGTTGGAAAGAGAAGATCGAGCTTGTTTTTGCCAGGGCGAGCGCGCTTCCCTGATCATGTGGACGAAGAGTCGAAGCTTCCGACGGACACAGGCTGGGACTGGCATTGGGCAGTTCATCCATGTCCGCTGCTTGGGGATTCCGAGTGTTTCCGGTTTGCGAATAGTGGGTTTGCATACATACGTGCTTATATATATAATATATATATATATATTTATGTCAGAGGGGGAACCCCAAACCCCATGGACAGTTTCCTTTGGGTTCCTCGCAATGCTTTTTTAGCAAGGCCTATCGGGAAAGGAACAGGAAGGGCCTGACCTACGGTGATGCTGATCGCGTGTGCTTGAGCTACACCCACGACCCCGAGCCTTGGCCCTGTCAAAGGACTGTGGGAACCTCGGAATCCGGAGCTTTGACTTGTAAAAGGAAATCCTTGCGGTCCGATGAATCCGGGGTTGGCGTTCGTGGGAACCCCAGATCTGAGCGGAAGCCCCGGTTGATTTTGGATTGGGGGGGTGTTCTCAGGTGGAGTGTCACGACTTGGTGACACCCCCCTAGACAGGTTTATTAATCCGGGTCAACATTACTGGAGGGATTAGTGAATGTGGACCCGACCCCTTAAACACGAATTGTATGGCAGAATTAAAAGGACTGACTTGGGTGAACCTGGGATGTAAGCTGCTTGATGGAGTACATTGTGTAGAACTTGCAAGAGCGAGGGATCGTCAATAGCTTTCCGGGCAACCGGAAATCGGAACGCAAGGACTACAAGAATCTGATGCCAAAGAAGCTTCAGTACCACATGAAGCCAAAGTGGCTTGGCGGAATGGCGGTTGCTGAATCTGCGTTTTACGTCCGAAGACTCGATGGATCCACTACTTCTTGGGTTCATTGGAGCATCCTGAAACTGAATGGGGCATCCTGAAACTGGTTCCCCTTAGCTGATCTGATTCTTGGTTTGTCCAATGCATAGTGGTACCAAACCGGATTCTCATTGAAAGCAGATTCGCCACCTGGAAATTTGAGCAGGCATGAAGGTGAAGTTGAAGTGCCAATGCGGACAGACGCTTTGCCGCAATTGGTGCGGAACAAGAGTTAAAGCTTCGATGGCCAGAGAAGCCAAGTAACCAGACCCCACCTACCCTCCGCACACGCACATTGCTTTCCAGAATAGGAGACCCAACTGGGAAGCTTTGCCTCAATGTTCGCTTCAAGTTCGAAGGGCATTTCCGATGTGTTCAATGATTCAGTGTGGATCTGAAAGCACTTCTTCAAAATAAGTTTTGCCTGATTGCAACTACAAACATCGGAACACCGGAGATTCCGGAACACCGGAGATTACACGGCCTTTTGGTGAGTGCGGGGTGTTCAGCAATGATTCAGCGACGGCAAGTGTGGGTTTGATATTGGATTCGTTCTCCCCACCAAACGAGGACATGTCATTTTCTGAGCTTTGGTATCGCGTTTCCCAATTGAGGTTTGGATCTGGAGAAGCGCTGTTCCACGTTCTGTACAGGTGTTTCCCTGAAAGAGTCGTGGCACTGACCCATGTCGGTACAGATTATTCAGAACCATGGTTCGAGGCCATCAACACCTAGAATCTAGAAGGTTAGGCCGCCAGCAAAAGATACGGATATGGTCCCGTTCCTTTCTCTCCTGGGGCCTTGCCTGCAGTCCTATTCCCAAATTGAGTCTCATCTGGAAATTGGGATGTGTCAAACTGGTACCCCGCAAACTGTGTGGCTTCCTTTTTGGTGTCCCTTTGAAACCGCCCACACCGAGGGTCTCCGGTCTCCCCGACTTTGGCTCAGGAGAAGCGGTGGATCCGTGTGTGCGCTGCTGCAGAGCTTCCTGAGGGCGAGTCCAGGCTTTTGGAGCTGAAGGAAGAGATCCTCGAAGTCCAAATCCATTTCGCATCCATAAGCCATGCTTGAATTCAATTCGGTCGGTATTTAGCTAGCAGGGAAAGCCATAAGCCATGGTTGAGTTCAATGGTTCTTGAAAATTGAGCGGGGAATCAGAAGCCAGGCTTGTTTGGTGTTGTTGTTTTTGTTGGAGAGGGGATAAACTTACAAATCTCTGCCGGATGCTCATGTTGATTGAACATGATAGGGGTGATTTCCCCTTTGGATGTTTAGTCGGGAAACCAAAGGAAGCCACTGGATTTTTCGCCCTTTGAGCAGGCGCCCAAAACCACAGTTGGTCGCACTCGTAGTAGGTGGCACTAGTTGCTTAAATACGGAAGGGCGCATGACCATGTTGGCAACACCAAAAGGGCGCGGCTCAATTGGTTGTCAATAGTAAGGGGTGTTATTTGGGTTGGCTCAGACGGCATGTGGACGCATGGACTCGTGGCACGTTGTCCGCCGAGGAACGAGCAAATTGCGGTGTTCCGGCACAGAGGAGAGCTCTTTGCATTGGATTCTTGGGTGATAGTTGGATAGCGGCTACGGTACCAAGCCCGTTTGAGTGCACTGCTGTCAGCCCAGGACAATCGATGTGCGCATATGGGCGGCTCCTTGTGCGAGGGGGAGATTGAAGATGTCGGCACCGAAAATCTTGGTGGTGTTCTCGGCATACAGTTGGGATTGTGTCTATTCGTAGAAGTGGATCGCGCATCGCCTCATTCTAGAACACAATGTCTCCTAAGGCTGCAGCGATTCCAAAGCGACTGATGGGATGGTGATTTGCCCGCGGCACTACATGTTCCCTGGCCGGAACTGCAAACCCAAATGACCCGCATGATAGGCCAGAGCTCTTCAAGCAGTGGGGATCCTTAGGCAGTAAGATGGGTTTAACTAGATGGCGCATTTGCCCCCCCCCCCCCCCGTCCCCGCGTGGAAGGGAATTGCGCGATCTATGTCGACCCCCTTCTTAAAGTGATCCAAGGGGTTTTCTTTATGCAGGCAGGGCTTGAGACACGTCGGCAGCCAACAGGTTTCCCCATTGTTGCTGCCTACAGCATCACCCCAACCAAGAGAATCTCACCTTAAATTTGACAAGTTCTAGAGAGTAAGACCCAAGTCTCCCTTGAGCCCATAGACCATCGAAAAACCACTGAACAAGCCTAGGTGGTATCCCCAGCCCCGGAAGCTGGAACCCTCCGCTCCGCAAAAGCTGCCCCACCCCCCAACCCCCCCCCCCTATTTGGGCAGAGAAAAAAAAGCGCACATTTGGAACTCCCGGTCCAAGGTGCTTCAACTTGAGGACCGGAGAAAACGTGGAAGGAGATGCCACGATGCAGCAGCAGGCTGTGGCAGTTGGTGCAACGTGTTTCTCGGCTGGGTCCCCTTTTTGGTTTACATGGATTCTCCAAAAGGAAAACGTTGAGGCTTTCCCTGTTTCGAGACAAAACCGTGTTCTTGCACACTTTTGCTTGGTACACTCAGTCTAAGGGAACCATGACTTGGGGGCAAGGGTTTGTAAGGGAACCGTGGCCACCCACGGAGTTTTACAGATGGCTACATCTAGTTACAAGGATTACAGGGGCGTGGAATGGAGGTTCAGAGCCATTGCCTCGGTTTGCCTTCGCTGACACGGTCATTTTTCACGTTTGGAACTTGGCTGGTTGCTGACCCCCCAGACCATCTAAGGGGCATGCTGGATATGCTCCCTGGCAGGTGTATCCGGTGCGCTTGAGAGACGACCATGTGGAGGCAAGTTGCACAGGAAACTCCATGGATGTTTCAGCATGCTTGCAGGTGGAAGTCGAAGTTGAAGTGCCTCTTCAATCAGCCCCTTGGTCATAAGCGTTTGTCCCAACTTATGAAGACCTTTGTTTCGGCACAGCGGCTGGCAATGTAGTTCGGCAACTGCATCAAGTGCCAGCTTGCAAGGATTTGACATCAGCTCTCTCCTTGCCCAGACTCGCGATCTGGCTCCATCGTAACCAGGACAGGTGTCAGAAATGTGTGAGCTCCCCTTTAGTGCATGGGCATGAACCATGTCGGGCAAGTTGCTTCAGCCAGGTGGTCGCTGCTGTTCCCTTCGTTCTGGGCAACTTGGAAGCAGCATAACCAGAGCTTCCAGTCCTAATTTCCTCCAAAGAGCTTAGGGTCTACAGTAAGTTTGGGGAAACGAGGGGGGGGTTAGGTGGGATCCTTTGACCTTGGCATGTTTCGAAGGCTTGGCCGGCCTGGTTACGGCTGTGATCCTCAAGCTGCGGCCAACGAGAAACTTCTGGACATGGCATATCAATCCATGAAAAAGGAACATCATTTACTTGCCAAGAAACTACTCAATGCAACTCCATATCTGCAATCAAGAGAACGAATTGCGACATATATATATATATATACACACACCCAAATGTCGACCTTTTTGTCGGCCTTCATCTGTGATGGCCCACTCTCCAACTCAACCGTTTGAAGCGTTTAAACCGTTTGAACCCTTTTTCAAAGGAATGGTTTGGGCCCAAACCTGTTTGAACCGTTTAAACCCTTTCTTAGAGAAAAGGTTTGAACCCAAAACCGTTTAAACCCTTTCTTAGGAAAAGGTTTGGGCCCAAAACCGTTTGAATCGTTTGAATCCTCTCTTTTAGAGGAAAGGTTTGGGCCCAAAACCGCTTGAACCCGTTTGAATTCTCTCTTAGGTGGAACTGGGGGGGGTACATTTGAGGGAGGGTTTAGTTAGTTTAAATGGTTTTGGTTAGAACCCTGGAAGGGGGGGGCTTTCCTCTGAGAAAGGGTTAAAACAATTTAGACGGTTAAACGGTTTTGGGGGCCTTGGTTCTTTGGGGGGCTCGGGGGACCGTTCTTTTCTGAGAAAGGGTTGAAACGGTTTAAAGGGTTGAAGGCCTTGGGGGGGGGGGGGGTTTCCAATGAAAAAGGTTATAAACAATCTGGGACCTCTTTGAGGGGGGTTCTTTTCGTTTGGAAAGGATTTAAACAATTTAAATGATTTGGAATATTGAGTCTCTCTTTTTTTTTTACTTTTAATTAGGATAGAAATTTGATTATTTTTATTTTTATTTTTTTAAGAGGATATAATTAATTGTTAAATTTTTAATTTTATTTTTTGTATTTTAAAAAAATTATAAAAGATTGATTTTAAATTGGTATTGATATATATTGTATTTGGTTTTGTTTGTTTATATTAAAAAAAAATGGAGGAATGGGAATTAGGAGGTTGATTTTGTAATTTTAATTAGCAAAATTATAGGTATTTTGATTTATATTTAATGTTTATTGAATATTTTAAACATATTTTTATTTGATTTATACATATTATATGTGTTTATTTAGGTTTGTTTAAATTCGTTTTAATTTTGTGAATTTTTAGTGAAAAAAAAAATATATATATGGTCGGCGGTTTTATCCGAATAAATCCGATTATATGTCTTGGGATAATATTATGTTGTTGCTAGGTATTTGGTTTGCTGGTTTTAAAATAAAGGTTATACCTTGGTGTCGCCGATGCTCGAAATGTGGTTATGATATATTATTTAAATTCGGTTTTATTTTCCTATATAAAAACCTTACAAAATATTATATATATGTAGGGTTTCGGCTACGTGGCTGACATTATTAGGGTCTGGGGTTCGGTTTGGGTGATATTTTAACGGAACTTGATATATATTAAAATATCTTTCCCAAAAATAAGATATCGGAGGAATATATATGATTTTTTTTTTTTCGTGTATTTTGGCGCTAAGTATTGCCGGGTGTGCCGACGATATTGGGTCCTCGCTCTATAAAACGTTATAAATAGTAGTTGTGGCTGGCTTGTATATTACACGGTCCTTGTTTTTTTCTCGTTTCGCACTAGTGTTGTGTTAATATTTGATTTTTATAATGGACCGTTTTGTTTGCTGTACCTTTGTTGTATGGTGTAACCAAGTCGGAGTTGGTGAGCAATTAATCTTTAGATGAGATGGTTACCGGACGCTAGCATGGCGTTAGTATTGCATTGGCCAAAATGATTTAGAAAGGCTTTATATGAGATCTGACCCATTATATGGTATAGATGTTAAAAGGAAAAAATTACGAGATATTATTAGGGATATTTCTGTGATAATAATCGAAAGAGAGGCTAAAAGACAAAAGGCTAATAATGCAAGGCATAGGGAATTGGATAGATTTATATGGCATTATTATTTAATTAATTAATTAATTTCTTATAAATTATAATATTATTCCAGTTATGCAAATATCAAAAGGTTAGATCGCTATAGATTATTATAAATAATTCCGATTCCAATGATAATTCTAGTAATAATAAAAATAATGATATATTGGATAAAATCGGATTGGATTTATTATTTGGAGATTATCGAATCCAAAGTACGAAATATGTTTCCTTTAACTCCTCATTTAAGAAATGATTTTGACAATGATAAAATAATGGGATTAGAAGGATTGGGGTTGTTTCTTTGTTGTTAGGGAAATAGCTTCGGGGTAATGTATTTATGCACGTTAATATTTCTTATTCATAATTTTAATAAAAATACAATTTCTAATACGATTAAGGCCGTTATATTCCATATTTTCCATTTCAAAATTGCCTGTTTAGAATTTTGTTATTTTATTTTCATGTTTTTATATTTAATATCATAATTATCATTTGCTATTACTAATGAAATTGATTTTGGTGATTTATCATCAATAATTATGCCAATATTATCAGTTTCTATATTATTAAAACCTATATTTTTTTGTTGTATTTTGCCTTTATGCCTATTTTAGAAGTAAATAATTCATCTAATATATATTAAATTAAGAAATATGTCTTAAGAATATTATATAATATATATATAATTAAAATTCAAAAAAACACAAATTATTCTTCAATAATAATAATATTAATTATAATTTCAATATATATATTTATATAATTAATATAATAGGTTAATACAATTTAATATATATATATATATTCAATTTAATATATATATATATAATTATAAATATAAATAATATATTCAATATAAATTCGATTTAAATTGCAATTTCCAAAAACATATATATATTTTAATATAATATTATTTATAATTTAAAATAATTTTCATTAATCAATAATTATTAATATATTTATATATATAGTTCAATAATTAATTTCAATTAAATATTATTATAATATTTCTTGAATTAATAACCAACTCAAATTATATTTCTTAAATAATATAATTTAAAATAAACAATTATAGTAATAATATTATATATAATATATAAAACATATTCAAAAATATATTTTTTATATCAATAATTTAAATTATTCAAATAAATATTATTATCCTTATTTTAGATCTTTATATCAAAATTAAGTAAATGTCTAGGCCTATAACCTCTAATTAATTATACCTATTAAAATTATTAGATATTATATTATATTGTTTTATATAATTATTATATCTTTTTTTAAAATATAATTAATTAAATTATATATATTGCCCATACCAATCCCAATACTGAAGGCTTCCAACCCAAAAAATAAACATAAAGTGGCGCGCACACGCCCTAACCAAACGCCCCAAAATAAGCAGCCAAAAAAACATAACCCATAACCCAACCCGGAAACACAAAATGCAACAAAACATTATACATAACAATCAGATATAATATTTAAATAATCTTTTATAAAATAAATAAATATATCATCCTAAACAAATATTAAGTAAATATCTAAATAAAAATAAAATATTCAAATATTATTATATATAATTATTAAATTATAAAATAATTATTAAAATCTAATTTTAATAAATCAATATATAATAAAATAATCAATCCTAAATAATTATTCCAATCTATATAACCATCTAATATATCAGCCTCAATCTAATATAAATTCCTTCCATCTTCGCCACCATAAACAACACCTTCTCCAACACCTCTATTAATCCCTACTACATCAACACCCGCCAAATCACATGCCCCTAACACCCTATCATTAATCTCATAAAATCTACCCATATCATCATTCATACCTCAAAACAACAACAATATAAACCCCAAATAACGCAAACAACACCTACACCCCCATACATACCCTAACCCTACCATACACAAACATATTTGCAATATCATCAACATCCAACAACTCCTTAAAAACCTCCCAAATATCACAAAATATCCGTAATTCCCCCCAAAACAACACCTACAACAACAACCAAACTTACATATCTATTACCAATTTCACAAATATATGTATATATATATCGTCCTCATCACCTCCAACATCATCCAAAACAACCCCAAAAACAATACTTGCCACAATACATGCCCCCATTAATACCCAACCATCAATCTCGCAAAACATGCACGATAAACGAACGACCCCAAATAACAATTTATTAATAATCAATATCAACACCTCAAATTTTTAACCCCCCCTAATACCCAACTACCAAACCTACAACATGCGACCGCACCATCACCCCAAATAACATTTCAAACAACACCTATGTCAGAATGCCAAATTACATATCCCTAACACCCTACTATCAATCGCACAAAATTACGTCCGCATCTGTTCAATATACATTTATATGTTCCTCCTCTTTCAATTGTAACTTAAATTCTCAATAAATCCCTTCAATTAAAATATATATATATATATCAAAATTCAATTATTCAAATATTCAGTATATCTGTAAATTAATCAGATTGATTATATTTATATATTCAAATATTGGTTTATGTTAAATTGAAAGATAATTATAATATAAATTATTTGTAGTTTTTTTCTCCAAGAGAATGATTAATTTGTGTAGGGAACATTTGGGAACATATATCGTCCTCATTTGCGAATCCGCAAGCTCGGCCCATGAAGCGCCTCCCATTGCTTGGAAGTCAAAGGCTAAAGACCGAAGCCTCAGCTTGTGGGAACAATACTACATGGGGAAGGGCACTTGGTAAGTGGTTACGAGTGGTTATAACCTAACTGGCAGACTTACAACCATGGGTAAGTGGGTTATAACCATGGAGTAAACCGCTTACCAGGTACCTGCATTAAGTACTCGTCCGTTTGGCCACGCCCAGTTCGCCTTATCAAAAATTTCCTTGTTCTGTTGGGTTTCCTTAAAATGCCAACTAAAAGACGTCTGCCAATTTGAGAAACTCT